GCCCTACAAAGGCACCTTTCATAGCTAACTTGGTCTCTCGGGCATATACAATTAAACTAAACATTTGTTTTACATCTGTCATGCTAAAGATGGCAGTGGCACGCCTGAACACCTAAAGTTAATTTTGATTGTAAACCTCAAGGCCTACACCTAAGGCCCCACAAAGGCACCTTTAAGAATTAACTATGTCCTTCTCTTACAACCCACCAATAAGCAGAAGCCCGACAGACAATATCAACCGGCGCCAACCTCTTGGGGAGCTGTGTGCTAGTCGGCCAGGAAACGTCCCCATCGGAAATTCCTCTAAACGAACAACTTCTATTGATTTTAAATCTCATGGACCAAACTTATGGATGATGCAAATCTCAGGGACCATTTTGAATAAAAAGCCAATAGAAATTTGAGAAAATAGTAGCAAAAATTTATTGAGACATATACTATCAAAAGAATAAAATAATTGACAGATCCACCGCAACCAATCTAGAAAGAGATAGACAAACAATTACAAAACTACAATAACCAATCATGAAAATATTTTTCATAAATAAACCACACCTTGTTCTTGTAAATCAAGAACCCGTTCTTGGTAACCGACGAATGACGGCATCATCAAACATATTTTGGTCACATATCTTTACTATGAGTAAATATATATTGTTTTTTGAGGAAGAAGACGTCCATCATCTTCCCACCTAAACAAAAGAGAAACACTAATCATCCCGTTCTATTAAAAAAATGTTTTTTGATATTTGTGGAAATCAAATTATACCTGTGAATTGTGATCCCTCGTGCTAACTGACAAATATATCCACCTTCCTTGGTTTAGCCTCCGCTGGCATCATGGGAAGAAACTGCAAAAGGGGACAAAATGGAATTAGATTTCCCCTCATAAGGAAGGTCAGATACCTTTAACATGGTTGTATTTCTGGTTGAAATGGGATGGTGATCAAACTCCTGAAATGCAATCTAGACAGCAGGCCCTTCCCTTTCCGACTGGACTAAATCGGGAAAGGGTCAGTCTCATCCAGAGCATGCCGCACATCAACCATAATTTCATCTCAATTATCACTAACAAACAGATAAATATCCTCCGTTAGCATAAAGACAAAAAATGAGAAGACTTGTGTTCCTTCATTGATCGAAAAAAGCCCTTCACTTATAAACATCACACCCATTTTTCTGTTCCACAGTAAATGAGTTAAACCACCAAATGAAGCCAAAGAACATACATCATACCCATTTTTCTTGGTCTGCAGATTGTGGAATTTGTTGAAATGTGAACATCTATTTTTTAGCGCACCCTATTCCTTGAAGATTTTGCGTAAAATTGAACCTAATGTATCCAATAGTAAAATTAATGCATAAAACCAAAAAGAGGAGAGAGCGAATACCAATCCAATTCCAACTAATGCATAAAACCAGAGAGAGAGAGAGATACCAATCCAATTCCAAACTTTGGATTCATGATTTGCTTGGCATGCAGTTTCATATTTTGTTTGAGAAAATTGAAGCAAGAAATGGAAGATTTCATCCGAAGTGGTACTGTAGTGGAGTCGGATTGGCGAAGTAGTGCAGAAAAGAACGGTTTTTTTTTTTAATAAATTTTTTTATGAGGAGGAAAAACCGTTTGTTTCGCGAAGTGGTAGTGTAGTGCAATTGGAGGTTCTTCACGTCTTCATCCCTTCTCCCTTTTTTTAAACTTTTCCAACAATTTACCTTTTATTTGACAAAAAAAAAAAACAATTTACTTTTTAATTTCCAGATGACCTAACAATTCAATCTCTATTCATTTCTTGATCCTCCCAAATTTTATTTCCATGGGATAATGGAGAGGTCAATATTATTAGTCTTGAACTAATATTGTTTAAACCTGTATACCTGGAAGAGAAAAACACATAAATAGAGTGAAGCTTATAAACATGATGTTCTAAATCAATCTTGCAAGGAAAAAAATGGAAACTATAAAATAAACCTTGCAACATATATTCAGTATTTCTTCTTCTTTATTTTTGTTATTTTTTTTTTAAGGCTAATTTGATATTAAAATTGACCTAATTTGAGCCTCCAAATCATCAAGCTTGGCAGCATAATCTTACTAAACCAACTCCATAACCTTCTTGTGTTTTTCTTTCGTGATAGGTTTTCCACGGTCACCAAAGCTAGTATATTTCAATTGAAAACTGAACTTCAAAATATTAAGAAGGGAACTGAGTCAGTTTCTCAGTATCTATAAAGGGTAAAGGATGCCCATGATCATTTAGCTGTTGTTGGAGTATCATTTGATGATGACGATATTGTCATCATTGCTCTCAAAGGGTTACCTTCCGAGTACAATACCTTTAGAACTGTGATTCGAGGGAGAGACAATGTTATTTCCCTAAAAGACTTTCAAGCTCAGTTACTTGCTGAGGAAGCTGTTCTTGAAACCTCTTCACTGTCTAGCTCTTTTGTTCCTGCTATGCTAGCTCAAGGCCATGACTCTAAAGGGAAAGGATTACTACTTGCAGGTGATTCTTCTCCTTCAAATGGCGCTCAGTCATCACAATATCAAACTGGAAGTTCTTCTCATTCAAATAATGGTGGTCCCAACTATAATTCTGGAGGTTATACTAATGGTGGCAATACCTACAATTCTGGAGGATTTCGAGGCTCTAACTTCAGAGGCCGATCTAGGGGTCGAAATCATTTTTGGGAATCCACGATTTTCTGGTAGCAATTACAATACTGAATTCTTGGTCCTGCAAGACCTCATGTTTCTACTTGTCCTGAGCATGGCAATGATGTGCCTACTTGTCAGATTTGTACCAAAAGAGGTCACATCGCCTCTGATTGTTTTCAAAGGCACTCTTCTACACCAGTTTTGTCTTCTCCTATCCAGTGCCAAATTTGCTGGAAATTTGGACACTCTGCACTCAAATGCTACCACAGGGCTAACTTTTCTTATCAAGGGAGGTCACCATCACCAAATCTCACTGCCATGAATGCCACTTATCAACCTTCTGCCCCACAAGAACAGTTTTTGGTGGCTGACACTAGAGCTACATCTCATATGACCTCTGAATTGGCAAACCTTAATCTTACCACTCCTTTCACAGGGACTGATACTATCACCACAGCTAGTGGCTCAGGTTTGGAAATATCTCATACTGGTTCTTCAACTTTACGAGCTCCTAAATATGTTTTTCAGTTGAAAGAAATTTTACATGTTCCAAAACTGTCACAACATCTATTGTCCATATATCAGCTCTGTAAAGATAATCATTGCTGATTTATTTGTGATGATTTTTATTTCTGGATACAGGATAAGATCACAGGGAGAATCCTTATTCAGAGGCTGTGTAAAGCTGGATTGTACCCGATTTCTTTTCATATACCTCCATTCATACTCAAGCAAGCATATCAAGCATCTCACTTCCCTAAACAACAACACTATCTCACTGGTCGTCAAGTCAACACATCTCTTTGGCACAACAGATTAGGTCACTCTTCCAATCTTGTTGCTGCAAAAATGTTGGACCAATCTCAAGTTCTTTTTGCTTTAGACCAATCTAGGCATGTGTGTATCTCTTGTTTAGAGGGCAAAATAACTAAATTGCCTTTCCCTTTTCTTGCAAATAAAACTGTACAACCTTTAAAAGTCATCCATATTGATGTTTGGGGGCCTCTCTACAGGACCAACGCATGCTACGACAAAGCCCACTTGTTGGGAAGGAATCAAAGATTCTGGAATCTCTCCCGGGTTCTTGAACCTTACAGGGAATCGATAACATCACCAAGCACCCGATAAATTTGTAGTTGTAACGGGAACACAAATAGTATATTACGTGTTTTAATATGAATGGTGTAAAATTTTATTTTTTAAGTTGTTAACTTTTTAGCATATATATTCCACAATTTGTTCAGTAACACATAATATATCATCCCGTGTATCGATCATGCTGAAAAATCTCTCCCAGCACACGGACAGTCCAAAGGAGAAATTTTTACTTTGTGAAAGGAAGACGGATAGTACATCGCCCATCACCGTCTAACTAAAAACCAAGAGCTCCCGTTGGTCCATTAAACTGCATAAATAGAGCGAAGAGAAAGAAAAAGAACAGAGAGAGAGAGAGAGAGAGAGAGTGTGTTTTGCAGTCAGAATCAGTGGAGTGAGAGATAAAAATGGAGGATTCTGCCGCTGCTGACATTAATCGCTTCTTTCGTAGTATTTTTCCATTTCCAGTTTCCCTCCCAGGTCTGATGACAAAATTAACCTCTTTTTTCATGCAGATTAATTCGATTTTTTTCCCATTTTTCATTTGTTTATTTCGTTGGGTTGTATTTATGTATTTTTTACCGATTCTAATGATGTAAAAATCTTATTAAGTTATTGGTTTTCTGTTAATACTGGAAAAGGTCGAATTAGATTAAATTTTCTTCCTTTTCTCTGCATTTTCTCGCCAACCAAACACTATTTTTTTGTAGATACTTTGTTTTAATGTTTATTATTTTGTTGAATTGATATTATTTATTGATCTAAACTAATTTTTTTAATTTATGATTTATATGGTTTTTGCAACCTTGTGGCATCGAATAAGATGATATATCATTTATTTGGATATTTATTAATGATTAGTTGTAAAAACATTTTCATCAAAATGGTTTCAACCATTTCAAAAGCACATCTAAATGAGCTTTTATATTTATGTTATGTTTGTGTCATACTGTTTATCGTATAAATGAGAAAAATTATCATGTTCGTGATGTAAAATTAGTTGAACAGTGTCAAGTATGTATTCGGACTCGTTTTTAATTGTTTTTAAAATGATTGAAAGAGTTTTTAGATAAAATGTTTTTGGGTTCCAACCATTTTAAAAGCACTTAGAAACGAGCTCGTTTTTGAGTCACGTGACACAAAATATTTCATCTTTTGTTATGCATTGAACTTTTAGTGCCGTAATAGAGTGAGAAGTTAAATGCCATGCTAATGGAGTTCGATCGATCTTTCTACTTTACAGCAATATCGGAAAAGTTGCAGCCTGCTTCCTTTCCAACATTATTGGATCGCCAGCAAGCGCATTGTGACACCTCAAGGGGTCATTTCCGGAGCAGGTAAGACGATATTCTAAACTATACTAATTTACGGGGAAGGGAATTCAACTCGTGTGGAAGGAGGCGAGCACGCAATATCACACCAAATTATAATTTAGTTTTCGTTTATGAAATGTGTGAATGAACAGTTGAGATAAAGGATGGGAAGATTGCCTCCATTGTTAAAGAAGAGGAAAAGCATGGGAAAATCAAGCTGGAGAATGTGATGGTTTATGGAGAGGCTGTTGTCATGCCTGGCTTGATTGATGTGTAAGTTATGACATTTAATTTCGTCTTCTCGATCTATTTCTTCATCGGGTTTTTGATTGGAGCTTAAACGCGTTGATTGCATTGATTCAGGCACGCACATCTCGATGATCCTGGAAGAGCTGAATGGGAAGGATTTCCATCAGGAATAAAAGCCGCTGCTGCTGGTATGCCTTTATAACTCTGCTCCGTTCTTGTGTTTTCGTGGATTGTTTGAAATCGATAATGGATTACTTTTCTTGCAGGCGGGATAACAACATTGGTTGACATGCCTCTAAATAGTGAGCCATCAACCGTCTCTAGAGAGACCTTGGAACTCAAGATTAAGGCAGCGAAGAGCAGAATTTACGTTGATGTTGGTAAGAACTTGAAGCTATACGTTGGGGATACAATTATACTAAATTTTTTTTAGAACTGGTATAAATTTACATACATTGTGAACAGGTTTTTGGGGAGGTCTTGTTCCTGAAAATGCTTTCAACGCATCTGCTCTCGAGGATCTCTTAGATGCCGGTGTTCTTGGTCTAAAGGTAATGTTCAAGTAGTGAAATCTGTGCGTAGAGAGATATCTGTTCCATTATATTTCTTGTGTTACAAGTAAGGGTCTTAGCAATTAATTCAGACTCTTGTGTCTTTAGGTGTTAAGAAATTTCTGAGTTTGATAATTGGTTTGTGTCGATCGAATGTGGACCAGTTTTTCTGTTTTCTTGCATTAGGAAACAGTGTTCTATCCGGAAATTGTCTCTTCTGATGAATTTTTCAACGTCTGTTTTTGTAGTCTTTCATGTGTCCATCCGGGATTAACGACTTTCCTATGACAAATGCCAGTCACATTAAGGTTTGTTCCATGAGACTCATCCCTTCCACTATCACATAAAACATCTAATTTGCCTTGCAGTTTAATTAAAATCAAATAATTGTCGTGTTATTTGTTTATTGTATCGCTGCATCTGTTGGCTTCATGAGATGAAACGTTGTTTGCGCAGTTCTGATGTCTTTTAAAAAATCTGCGTTCTTTTCAATTACTTGTTCCTTAGGAGGGACTATCTGTACTAGCAAAATACAGAAGGCCTTTACTTGTACATGCAGAGAAAGCACAAGAGCTCAAAAGCGACTTGGGAGTTGAAGGTGGTAGTAACGATCCTCGTTCTTATTTGACATATCTCAAGACCAGGCCACCGTCTTGGTAAGATATCGGTCGCTCCAATGGCTTGAATTTCAAATTCCAAATCCTTTTTGATATTGCAGTTTCCCTCACTAAAATTGTTTTTTTTTTTGCCTCTGTTTCGGAATCAGGGAAGAGGCAGCAATTAGGGATCTCTTGACCTTGACAAAGGACACGAGAATTGGTGGCCTGGCAGAAGGAGCTCATCTTCACATCGTTCACTTGTCAGACGCACGCTCTTCGTTAGATCTTATTAAGGTATAGTCTTTTACAAGTGTGGTTATCTAGTTTCTTAATTCTGTCCAGGTTAAGCAATGCAACCGCCTTTTTCTGCATTATCACAGGAAGCGAAAAGTGGTGGTGATGGTCTAACTATTGAGACGTGCCCCCACTACTTAGCTTTCTCAGCAGAAGAGATTCGCGATGGAGATACACGTTTCAAGTGTTCTCCACCCATCCGCAATGCAGCCAACAAGGAAAAACTGTGGGAGGCTTTGTTGGTATGTAATCATGCTCTGTTTCCCTGCCCCCTTACAAAGCGATTTTTCCAAACTACTCTAATTTAAGCAAGCAAGGTTGCTATCTACTGTCAAATTGGTTTGATTTGGTTTTCAATGTTTTGTTTCAGGACGGACATGTTGACATGCTAAGCTCTGATCACTCACCAACTGTGCCAGAACTTAAGCTTCTCAACGACGGAGACTTTTTGAGGGCTTGGGGTGGCATATCATCATTGAAGGTTGGCATATTTTTGCCTTAAATGTAAAAAGTTGCATTGTTTCAGAACTAACTGACATTGTTTTCGGGGGGGACATCTGGAGTTTGTTCTTCCTGTGACATGGTCATATGGCAAGAAATATGGAGTGACATTACAACAGTTAGCTTTATGGTGGAGCGAAAGGCCGGCCAGGCTTGCTGGACAAAAATTGAAGGTGAAATTGTCACCAGTTTTTCCTGCTCAAATCTGAAGTTTGGTTTTACAGCATAGGAAAAATTGCTTTGTTTTAGCCAACTTTCATGCAGACGCGTGTATTTTCATATATGCATCAAGAAAACTAGAATTTCAAAGCCGATTTATGTCTCGTCACCAATTGAATTCCAATTTTCAGGGGGCAATTGCAGTCGGGAACCATGCTGATATCGCAGTATGGGATCCGGATGTGGAGTTTGACCTCGATGATGAATTTCCCACCCATGTTAAACATCCGGTACATACAATATTCCTTGATCACATTTTTAAGAACCTCTATCCATTCAACCTAATTCGGAGTTCATCGCGTTGAGCAAGTGTTTTACTCTCACGTGTTACCTTTTCCATGTATAGGGCATTTCAGCATACTTGGGGACCAAGTTATCTGGAAGAGTTGCAGCCACATTTGTAAGAGGAAACCTTGTCTTCAAAGAGGGGAAACATGCTCCTGCACTCTGCGGCATTCCAATTCTGGCGAACTGAGAGCGGAAAAAGAACTGTCGATTGACGAGCAAAATCGCACACATACTCTCGTGCATATATGCTTGTATGATCAAATCTCATTCACGTATGGCTCTGCCACTGTTAAGCACTGTTCATGGCATTCATCTCTAGGGTTGAAGTGTACATAGCCAGGCCAGTTGCTTCCCAGATCTGTAATATTACAATTTGCAAGACATGCCAATGTAACTAATGTAACTACTGAGGATTTGCACAATAGTTTATGCGAGTTCGATTTTATATACGGCTCAAAATTTTCGGCTCATTGTCTGAGTAATTTCAAGTATTCTTCATTCAAACGGAGACATGATTCCAAGTGATGCAAATACAAATCAATTAGCCGCATGTCGTGGATAATAGATTTTAGTTTTCAACGAATTACACACTTTTCAAACGCGACGTCAATCAATAATTTTATTTTCATAGATTAAAGTAGTTTAAAAAACAACTCTCTGAAAACGAAACAAAATCTCAAATGATCTTTTTTGCAGGTCTTTGTAAAATCCAGCTGGCAATATTAACTGTATCCCAAACACCTAAGAAATTACTTGGTGCCTAAGTAACAATTTCCCTGTATAAAAAAAAGGGCATATCAAAAACCCTAACTTCGTGCCTAAGTAACAACTTCCCGATCACCAAGTCAATGGCTCCTCCAAGTCTTCTTCTTGGTCCTCCGGAGCTCAAAAATTCCCCTAAATCCGATTCCAGCTATCCAGTTGACGCCGATTACTACGGCGAAGCCACCACCGTCAGACCCCCGATGGGCTTCACCGAGAACGGCGCACCCACCTTCGTCTCCTCAGGCAACCCCTGCCTCGATCTCTTCTTCCACGTCGTGCCCGACACCCCGGCATCCTACCTCAATCAACAGCTCCCGTTGGCTTGGTCCCACGACGCCCTAACCACCCTCAAACTAATCTGCAACCTCCGAGGCGTGCGCGGCACCGGAAAGTCTGACAAGCAGAACTTCTACACGGCTGCGATTTGGCTCCACAACCACCACCCCAAAACCCTAGCCGGCAATCTCTTCTCTTTCGCGGAGTTTGGGTACTTTAAGGACCTGCCGGAGATTCTTTACCGGCTTCTAGAAGGTCCGAACGTGAGGGCGATCCAGAAGAGCCAGTGGTTGGAGAGGAAGAGCAGCGTGGTGGGTGTACTGAGCAGGGGGAGGTTTAAGCGCACAAAGACCGAGAAGCCCAAGGAGCCTCGGGTACCGAAAGTGAAAAAATTGACCGGAGCGGAGAGGGCACGATTGGAAAAGGAGAATGTGAGGGCTTCGAGGAAGGAGAAGTTTCTGGCCATGGCGAAGAAGGCGGTTGAGAGGTACCAGCGCGACCCGGATTACCAATTCTTGCACGAAAGGGTTTCGGATCTCTTCGCGGAGTGCTTGAAATCCGACATTGAGCACTTGAATTCGGATAAACAGCCCAAGAAGATCAGCCTTGCCGCGAAGTGGTGCCCTTCAATTGACTCCTCGTTCGATCGGGCAACTCTTATCTGCGAATGCATCGCAAAGAAGGTTTTCTCGCGAGAATCTTGCATTGAGTATCAGGAATTGGAGGAGGAGCATTACGCGTACAGGGTTCGTGATAGGCTGAGAAAGGAGGTGTTGGTGCCCTTGAGGAAGGCGTTGGAGTTGCCGGAGGTTTATATGTCCGCCACTCAATGGGGGTTGATTCCCTACAATCGGGTGGCTTCCGTGGCCATGAAGCTTTACAAGGACAAGTTCTTGAAGCATGATCGCGAGCGGTTCGGAAAGTATTTGGCCGATGTGAAAGCTGGTAAGTCCACCATTGCGGCGGGTGCTCTGCTTCCGCACGAGATCATAGCCTCTCTGAATATTGATAGTTATATGGTGTATAGATACATGGATAGCGATGATGAGGATCGGGTTCAAGACGATGGGGGGTGTCAAGTGGCTGAGCTTCAGTGGAAGAGAATGGTGGATGACTTGTTGAAGCAGGGGAAGTTGAGGAATTCCTTGGCGGTTTGTGATGTCTCCGGAAGCATGAACGGAGACCCGATGGACGTGTCTGTAGCTTTGGGGCTTCTGTTGTCGGAATTGAGTGCAGATCCATGGAAAGGAAAGGTTATCACTTTCAGCGCGTCGCCTAAGCTGCATTTGATCGAAGGGGATGATCTCCGGGCCAAGTGTGCCTTCATGAGAGACATGGATTGGGGGGACAACACCAATTTCCAAAAGGTGTTTGATTTGCTTCTCGAGGTGGCTGTGAAGGGGAACTTGAAGCCGGAGGACATGATAAAAAGGGTGTTTGTGTTCAGCGACATGGAGTTCGATGAATCCTCGGCTACAGGGAACGATTGGGAGACCGATTACGAGGCAATTAAAAGGAAGTTTGAAGAGAGAGGTTATGGGAACGCGGTGCCACAGATAGTGTTTTGGAATCTGAGGCACTCGGAGGCTACGCCTGCGCCTTCGAACCAACCTGGGGTGGCATTCTTGAGCGGATTCTCCAAGAACTTGATCAAGATGTTCATGGATAATGATGGGGAAATCCGCCCGGATCGCATCATGGAAGCAGCCATCTCCGGTGAAGAGTATCAGAGATTGGTTCTGGTGGACTGATTGCTTGTAATACTAGAGATAAAATAAAAAATAAAAAAAAAACAAGTGAAATGAAACTGAAGTTATACCCTTTTTGATCCATTGCTGTTGTGAAATCATATGTTTATGGATTTTCTAACAACATCAGCCTAACAAACGATTTCGAATTCCTGTCTCAAGAAAGTGAATTCTGTTTGCCGGTGGCCAACCGCGATCGGAAATCTTGTGTATCATGTTCTTCCCTTCAAATGAACAATGTGTTTTGTTTCGGAATACAACCGGCATTGTTTTCGTGGCATTTGCAGTTTGTAAACGGGCACTATTACCCGCGGGTACAATTTAACCCTTCTTTTTGTTTGCAAAGGGGGGGTACCTATTTCACCATCTTTTGCTTTTGCGTGCTCTTTCCTCAACAACGCTAATGTGGCGAGGGAAGGAGGATTCTTTCCTCTCCTATTCTCTCTTCCCTTCTTTTCTTTTCTATTTGAACAGTTATGATTTAGCCACACCAACATCTTATATTGATTTTTTTATAGAAATAATAAGATGAAAAATAATATGTAAGAGAAGGAGAGAGAATGAGATGAAAATATAAGAGGAAAAAATCGTACTCCAGGTTCGACTTTTAATTTTTTATCGGCAGAGTCTTCATTAAACAAATCCTTCCTGCAACATGCTTTTTCTCAGAATAACAATAAATGAATTGTTTTGGTGTTCTGAGTAGTAGTTAATTATTATATGTTCGTAACTTGGATTGCAATAAACAAACATGAGCTAAATCCATATATACATTCTCATAATTTTCAGTCGATTTTACAAATCCGTACATAAATCACCTTTCAATCTAATTTATTTTCACCTTCACCTCACTATGGAGTTTTGAAAATTAAGGTGAGATTTTCTGTTGAGATTATTGACTGTAGAACCCCATTTGACAATGTTTTAGGCCTCACTACTATAATTTTTCACTTATTTCTTTAGTTTGCAACTCAAATATTCTACTAATATACATTTATTGTTCAATAAACTGTAAAACTGCTTCCAAATTACTTATAAAATTTAACTTAATGCTCAGGAAAAATATTTTGTGAAAATAAAAAATTTGCATTTTTGTCAGAAAACGTGGATGTTAGGCGGGCTCGACACACGTGAAACGAGACGAACCATGACACACAAAATAACACAAGCCCTGTTCACAAGAAAAAAGGATAGGCTTCTGGCACGCAAAACTAGGCAAGCTTTGAGCACGTAAATTGAGGTGAGATACATCGCACAAATTGAGGCCAACCTTGCGCACGAAAAACAAGACTGGTTCTAGGCATGCCAAAACAATGTGGATTCCGTGGACACAAAAAGGGGCGGGTTTCTAACACGCAAAATGATGCAGACACCTCTGTGAACACGGAAAATTCCTGAAACGAAAGAGACAAGAACAACGTGCACAAACAAATATTTGTATTTGATGATTTTGGGTTACAATCTCTCTCTATTTTGATCCTCTGATTCGATCTCCGTAAGGTGTGTATTTGTGGATGTGTGATTGATCCAAAGGGCCGTTGGGCTTGATCTAAGGATGAACGTTCTTCAAGGGCCGTGGACTTGATCTTGAAGGTGGATTTGAGCGGATCTTCAAAGGGGCTTTTGGGCTTAATCTTTGAAGAACAGTGATGAACGGATCTCCAAGGGCTTTTGGGCTTGATCTTGAAGAACAGTGATGAACAGATCTTCAAGTGCTTTTGGGCTTAATCTTGAAGAACGGTTGGATGTGTGGATTTGTCGACGTTTGTTGATCCAAAGGGCCGTTGGGGCTTGATCTTGGATGAACGGATGATGAACGATGGTGCTTTCTTCAAGGGCCGTCGGGGCTTGATCTTGAATTGGTGGATGGTTGATCCAAGGGGCCGTTGGGGCTTGATCTTGGAAGAACGATGAACGAAGAATGAGGAACACTTTCTTCAAGGGCCGTCGGGGCTTGATCTTGAATTGGCGGATGATTGTTGATCCAAAGGGCCGTTGGGGCTTGATCTTAGGATGAACGATGAACGAAGAACGCTTTCTTGATTCTTCGGGGACCTGGATGCTTGAGAGCTTCGGAGTTTCAGAGCTTCGGAGCTTCAAGAGTTTTGCCTAATGATTTTGGTCCCCCCCCAAATGAATGAAATGGGCTTGTATTTATAGAATTTTCCAATGCCTAATTTTGAATATAATATTCCAGATGAAATAAGTCGTTTCTGCCAGGTGTTGACACGTGTCCTATTTGATGACTTTTCTAACTCATTTCAATTTTCGTTGAGCCACACGCTACGTGTAAAATTTATGTAATACATGAGCGTTGACACTTTGATTTATCGGTCAACATTTATTTACCAAAATTTCGATGTCTACAAATGCCCCCACTTCAAGGCACGTCGTATACATGTGCTTGTCACGTGTAGGAGATGCGTTTTGAAGTCCCTTATTGTAGATGTCGATCCAATGGCCATCGAGGCTTGATCTTGAATTGGGCTGGAGATTTCTTCAAGGGCCGTTGAGGCTGTCTTGAGATTTCTTCAAGGGCCGTCGAGGCTTGATCTTGAAGGTTGAAATTGGACCACAAGGAGTTTCATGTGGTAGATGATCCTTGGCTTTGGTAGTGGATGAATCGGCACGTATTTTGTTGCACTTGTTGACTTTCCACAGCTTTGATCTTGAACTGGATTGGAGGACTTTCTGGATTCCTCCAATTGTTGACTTTCCACAGCTTATTCTTGAACTGGGTTGGAGGATTTTCTGGTTTCCTCCAATTGTTGACTTTCCACAACTTATTCTTGAACTGGATTTGATTCAATGGTGGTAGACACTTGATCTTGAATCGGACTTGTGATTTTCTCAAGGGCCATCGAGGCTTAATCTTGAATTGGCTGGAAGCTTCTTCAAGGGCCGTTAAGGCTTGATTCTTGAAGGTTGACTCGAACACATGGCAAGCAGGCACGAGGTGAAGGTGACGACTTGTTGCTTTGTTCAATCTTTCTAATTCACACCTGAGCAGTTTGGTCAACGGTATGATCTTCAAGATTGATGGGCTCTTCTTCCAGTTGGTGACTTGATCTTTAAGGATTTGATTCAAGGGTGGTGAATCGGCACGTGCAGCCCACAACGCCTAGTAAGTCGACCCAAGAATTTGAGGGTCAAAACGAGTTCACCGTCCAGAGTGATTGTAACCCTGATGATATGAGATACTTTTGATTTTGAAGAAGTAGGGGATGACTCAGCACGTGCTTTGTTGCACTTGTCTCCACATGCTTCAAGGTATCATTTTCATTTCCTTTAATTGTTCCTCAGGCAGACGCGGCATCTTCTCGAGTTCTTCATCTCAGACTCCTTCTGCTGAGTTGACTGTGCATGCTGCATTCTTCTCTGCTTGTTTTTTCAGGCAGATGTGGCAGCTTCTCGAGTTCCTCAGTTCGGACTCCTTCTGCTGAGTTGACTGTGCAGACCGCATTCTTCTCTGCTTGTTTCTTCTGCACGTTGTCTCCACATGCTGCAAGGTATCATTTTCACTTGCCCTTATCTGTTCTTCAGACAGATGTGGCAGCTTATTTGGAAGTACAGCAGCAGTGGAAGACGAGTACTCGAGAGCAGTGCTAGGTAGGCAATCAGGGAAGGGTTCCAAGCAGTCGGTTCCTTACTCGAGTTTGAGTGGAGGTTCCGACATATTGTTTCTTTATCCTTGTCTTTGTAGGTAAGAACAAGGACAAAGGAAATGACAGGGAGAACGCATGATATGAGATACTCTTGCTTTCTACCCTGGTGATATGAGATACTTTTGCTTTGGAGTCATTGGCTTGCAGAGGTACCCCAGGGAATAAGGAACACCGAGTGACCCGAGAGGCTTCGTTGGGAAGGCATTCTCGGATATGAAGAAAGGTTCTGTATGTCTGCCTTGCTATGAAGGGTGAAGGTGGACAGTTATAGGAAATTCTTTAGTACCTGTAGAAGTACTATTCTTTTACTCGTGTCGGCAACCAATGCGTGTTTGATCAGTATGGCTTCACGTGTTTTCTTCTTTATCAGAAATCTTCGACAAATTGTCCGTAATTTTCGTCAAGTTGAGTGTGCATGTGATAGGTGTTGACGAGGCTGAAAAAGATTGGCGCCTCTTCGATATCTGGGATCGGCGCTTCGACAAATTGCCCGCGATTTCCGCAAAGTTGAGTTTGCGCGTGACGGGTGCTGACGAGGCTGAAAAGACTGGCGCCTCTTCGATATCTGGGATTGGCGCTTTAACAAATTGCCCGTGATTTCCGCAAAGCTGAGTTTGCGTGTGACGGGTGCTAACGCGTCTGGAAAAGCAAGATGCCTCTCTGATTTCTGAGCTTCGCCGAGTGTAGAGGTTGCATGTGACAAGTGCGGACAAGTCTGGAAAGGAAGATCGCCCGTGTTTTTTGAGCAAGCCCAGCTTTTGAGAAAGCTAGCACCTCTTCGATTTTTGAATTGGCCTCTTCGATTTCTGAGCTTGCCTCTTCGATCTCTGAAATCCTGTCGAGTGCTGATTTTATAGAGGCACACGGTTCGTTTCAAAGCACACTTGAATTTTCGCTTGTGAAAACTCCCTTCTTGCACTTCTAAGATCTTGATTTGTCCGATCTCTTCTTTCTTCAACATTTTGAAAATGTCTGGACCTTCCGACCGTCGTTTTGACTTGAATCTTGGTGAAGAGGCAGTCCCGTCTTCTCCAGACAACATATGGCGCCCATCCTTCATATCCCCTACTGGTCCTCTTACTGTTGGGGATTCGGTGATGAAGAATGATATGACCGCTGCGGTGGTGGCCCGGAACCTTGTCACTCCTAAAGATAACAGACTACTTTCCAGGCGGTCTGATGAGTTGGCTGTTAAGGAGTCTCTGGCTCTTAGTGTGCAGTGTGCGGGTTCTGTGTCCAACATGGCCCAACGCCTATTTGCTCGAACTCGTCAAGTTGAATCGTTGGCGGCTGAAGTGATGAGTCTCAAACAGGAGATTAGAGGGCTCAAGCATGAGAATAAACAGTTGCACAAGCTCGCACACAACTATGCCACAAACATGAAGAGGAAAATTGACCAGATGCAGGAATCCGATGGTCAGATTTTACTTGATCATCGGAGGTTTGTGGGTTTGTTCCAACAACATTTGCCTTCGTCTTCTGGGGCTGCACCGCGTAATGAAGCTCCAAATGATCAACCTTTGGTGCCTCCTCTTCCTGGAGTTCCGCCGAGTGGTGTGGCTTCAAATAGTCAACCTCCGGTGCCTCTCATTTCTGGAGCCCTGCCGAGTGGTGAGGCGGCACCTGATCGTCCTTGAAGATCCCCTATTTGATTTGATTTTTTTGTTTGTTTTTTTTAAGGTATGTATAATGCAAATTTATGTAAAATTTCCAGAAAAATAAATAAAGTGGACTTCTATTTCTCTCAATGCATTTGTTTTATTGTTTTTTTTTTTTTTTTTTTTTTTGCTATATACATACATATATTATGTATGTATATATATATATATGTATATTTTTTTTTCACGTGGACTGATCCGCCATTCCAAAACCCTTCCCCTTTGCATGGTGCTAGCCACCAAGAATCCACCTTCTCTCCTTTTTTTATTTTTTATTATTATTTTTATTTTATATATATATATATATATATATTTTATTTATTTATTTATTTATTATTATTATTATTATTTATTTATTTTATTATTTTATTTTTTTTGCTTTCACATGGTGCTGATCCACCATTCCCCTTTTCTTTTCTTTTTTCACGTGGTGCCAGCCAGCACCACTTTGCTCCACCATCCCATTTTTTTAATATATATATATATATTTTTTTTGTATAAATGTTGATGATGGGTAGAGAAATTTGCAGGCAGCGGAGCAAGGAGGCCGAGAAGATGGTGCTTCGAGCTTCACGACCGGCTAGTCGTTTGACGGCAGTCGTTGAAGTTCTTTGCTATCATGGTGGTCATAGTGACGAGCTCGATGGAGACCAGGCGCTGTGGTGGAAGATGGGCAGAGAGGGCGGAGAGAAGAAGAATGAGGAGGGGCTGCATGTGCTGCTGAAGCTGATGGGCAGAAGGAGATGTCTTGCAAAGGAGGCAGGGGAAGAAGCTTCACCGTTTCCACCACTGAGCACAGCCACCGAGCATAGCCACTAAGCACCCATTGCCCCGCATGCCGTCCCAGAGGAAAGGATCACCAGCTATGCCGCTGCCACGTTGTCGACATTTTCAACTTCTCTGCAATCTTTCGCTAAAGTCTACCACGCCCGCAACGTCCTCATCGGCCAGAGTAATGAGTTTGAAGTGGAGGAGTTGCAGCGGAGGTGCGGCGCTGGACGATGAGCAGAGGGTAGATCATGGAGGAGATGGTGATCTTTTGGCTCTGTTCATGGGCTTTAGTGGAGAAGACGAGGGAGATCCAAGCGATGATGAAGAAAGGCAGGTTGCCAGAGATGGTTGCACACCACCGATCGCTGCGCTGCTACTGTCTGCTGCACCACATGTTTGCTACTGCTCATGACTGCTTGCGACTGTTGTGATGACCACTGCCGACTGGGATGACGGCTATCCACTGCTTGCTGGGATGATGGTTGCTCCCTGCTCGTTGTGACGACGACTCTCTCTTATGCCAATGGGATCCCAATCTTGTGGAAACAACTTCGTTCAAAATTTGGCATAGGAATGAAATGTGGGCGGTGGTGTAGGCGCGAGTGGAAGATTAATCTGTGAAGCAGCAATTTTTTTTTTTTTTTTTAATTTTAGCAGCTGGACCGTATAGTGCCGCCTTGACAATATTCGGAGTCAAATCTCTCTTACTCTGTGCAACAGTCACAAGTCTGAGTGCATTATAAAATTCTGGCCGACCAAGAAAACCAGTTTTGTTCTGATCAGCATGCATCCATATCTGAGCAACAACTGGTTTGGGCAAATTGGAACCCTGGAAGAAAGCGACGGCTTCAGCTCCACTGATCCTGCCATCTCCATCCAAATCTGCTATCCTGAAGCAGGCTTCCAGCTGATCCGCATACGGACCTGCCATTTTCCTCCGATCTCACACCAGATCACCACCACACAGAAAGAAACGATGGCAAGTCGAATCGAATGCGTGGGAACCAGAGGTTGGTACTTGTAGGCTGGATCGAAGAGATGACCGAGAGAGAGTAGTCTGCTGCGCAAGCCAGATCGAGCTATATCTTAAGAAATTCGCGGTACTGGTCCGAGTTAATCGGAGCCGTAGGAGCTGGATCCAACGCCGCCGGCGGAGGATGATTGAGCTGCTGAGGAGGTTGCAGTTGACGATGGCGATGACGATCGGGCTTCTTGATCTCAACTACCTCTTCGTCCACATCGTCGCGCTTCGACGTCGACGACTGAGACGCGACGGAGCAGGAAGCGGCGGACGAAACGGGAAATTGTTCGGCGACCGATTGGCGAGGAGTGGCGGCCGGGGTCGTGAACTCGTCGAGGAACTGCTCGAAGGCCCACTCCGACGTGCTCCGGTTCATCTCCGCCGGCGACGACAGAGCCCAAAACGTGTCGGAGGAGTCGTCCGCGGTGAACACTGAATGCATACTCTGTGCGGGCGTGAATGTCCGAAATATCCAATTTTTGGTTGGCTGCCGAGAGAGAAGGAAGGCTTGAAGATAAAAGTGGAGGCCCAGTCGACGAACTCAAAGCCCTCCTTCTTGGCCTGCAGCATCTGGGTTCTAGGGGATCAACGGCCACAACTTATTTGGACTTGAGTTGATGGATGTGGTTGTTGCTCATCACGATTTCAGGCCCCAATTAAATGATTGATGCACCTTCTAGACTTTCTAGCCCAAGAATTTTGATCCATCCACTTCCTTTTTATTTATTTTATATATATATATATATATTTTTTTTTTGTGAAACTGTAATTTTTTTTTTTGTAAATACATAATAACATATGTATTCATTTTTTTTGTAATAAAATTGACTCTGTTTAATAAAACATTTATTTTTTTATGTGACTGAACTTGAAATTGAATATTCAAGCTGCCTACGTACCCTTCCAAAGAAAGAGATCAAGTCAAAACGTAGTTCAAATACATACATATTTTTTGTTATTATTTTTTTTTCTTTTTTGTGCCGTTTGCAGTTTCAACTCATGCAGGCAAGGAGCGTTATGCCATGCAGTTTAGGCTCGTGCAGGCGAGGAGCTTTGGTTCGTGCAGTTTAGGCTCGTGCGAACAAGGAGCATTGTGCCATGCAGTTTAGGCTCATGCAGGCGAGGAGCCTTGTGTCTTGCAGTTTAGGCTCTTGCGGACAAGGAGCTTTGGTGAATTTGTCAAGCAATTTTGGAGAGGCGTTCCTCACAATCTTCATAGCAAGGAGCCTTGACCGAGTGATTGAAGAAGTCTTCGGGCAAGAAATCACGCATCGTGATGGGGATGGACGATCTATATGTCGAAATTTCATCATCTTCAACACGTTCACGTTGCTTTGAAGGTTGACAAGAGCTGCTTTGCCCCCTTTCCGATTGGCGGACTTGTGGAGGAGACGTATGCTTCTTGTGCAATTTCTTAGGAGTGACTTGAGTCCATCCTTCAATTTTGCTTGTCTTGGACGATGCCCCCAGCGGTTGAGGTGAAAACTTTGAGTCGGAAGAGCCAGAAGTGAAGGTGGTATAGTTTGACTTCGCCACTTCGTCAAGATCTAGCTCGATGATTCCTTTCTGAGCCAGCTTCATGATGAGATCTTTCAGCACGAAACATTTTTCTGTCGGATGACTGATGAAGCGGTGGAATTTATAGTATCTTGGACTGTCGGTACGATTCATCTCTTCCGGCCGTCTGCACTCAGGCAAATTGATCACCTTCTTGTCCAACAGGTCATCCAGCATGGCAACCACATCAGAGTCGGGGAATGGATAAGTCTTCTCCTCAAGCTCCTTCAAAGTGCGTCTACGCATCTCTTGATCATGAAAAGCTTCGTTTTGAATCGCCTTGCCTCGTGTAGGGATTTTGACGGGAGCTGTGTTGACTGTCATTGCTTCTTTGGTGGATTTCCATGTAGCCTTCTCCACCTTTGGCCCAAGAACTTTGTCGTTCTTGTAGTCGGCGATCGGTTCCTTCTTCCCATGATGGGCGATGCTCAACTCCATGTCATGGGCGCGAGTGGCCAATTCCTCGAAAGTCCGTGGTTTAATGCCTTGAAGGATGTATTGCAAACCCCATTGCATGCCTTGGATGCACATCTCGATTGAAGAGGTTTCCGAGAGCCTGTCTTTACAGTCGAGGCTTAGAGTGCGCCATCTGTTGATGTAGTCAATGACTGGCTCGTCCTTTCACTGCTTTGTGCTCGTTAGCTCTAGCATGCTCACAGTGCGACGGGTGCTGTAGAAGCGGTTGAGGAATTCCCGCTCTAATTGCTCCCAGCTGTTGATGGACTCAGGCTCTAGGTCCGTGTACCACTCAAAGGCATTTCCTTTCAGTGAGCGCACAAACTGCTTGGCGAGGTAGTCTCCCTCCATCCCCGCGTTGTTGCAAGTTTCGACGAAATGTGCAACGTGCTGCTTTGGGTTTCCTTTTCCATCAAACTGCATGAACTTTGGTGGTTGATAACCCCTTGGCATCTTTAGGGCATCAATCTTCTTGGAATAGGGCTTCGAGTAGAACAAGGAGGTATGTGAGCTCCCTTCGTACTGTGCCTTGATGGTGTTGGTGATCATCTCCTGCAGCTGCTGGATAGAAAGAGATCCCATGAGTGCCGCTGCTTGGTCTGGCTCCGGCTTCCCATCGATTTTCTTCACCGGGGGTTCTTCGTCTCCGCCAGCTCCTCCCTTTAGTGGATCATCCTCTGGGTCGGGTTTATCACCGTCTTGTGCCTCCAATCGGTTGACTAGTGCTGCAATTTGCAAGTCTTTTTCTTCCACAGTTCGGGTTAGCCTTGCGATTGCTTCATTCATTTGAGCCAGTTGCTCATCGATTGAAGTTGCTCCAATGGTCATGACTTGCATGGCTGAACTGTCGCTTGAATCGGCATCGGAGAGCATGGATTCAGAGTATTTCCTTGGGCTTTCCCCCCTTGGTGCCCTTAGTGAGGCTAAGGTGATCAAAGGCTCGTGCCTTGGGTGCTTTTGTTCCCTTGGCAGAGTTGATGCAGAGGTGAAAGAGGCGGCAGAAGTAGCTCTTGCCATGCTTCGAGTCGTGATGCCCAAAGTGACACCAGTTGCGACGAGGACGCTTTTGTTCTTTGCGCCGGTTGCGGGAACAGTTTGAGCCTTCCTTGATGCCATTAATTTTGGAAGCGCGCTTGAATTTCTTGAACGGAGAAAGAGATGAGAGGCAGAGATTGTCCCACTGGGCGTGCCAATTTGTGAACACGGAAAATTCCTGAAACGAAAGAGACAAGAACAACGTGCACAAACAAATATTTGTATTTGATGATTTTGGGTTACAATCTCTCTCTATTTTGATCCTCTGATTCGATCTCCGTAAGGTGTGTATTTGTGGATGTGTGATTGATCCAAAGGGCCGTTGGGCTTGATCTAAGGATGAACGTTCTTCAAGGGCCGTGGACTTGATCTTGAAGGTGGATTTGAGCGCATCTTCAAAGGGGCTTTTGGGCTTGATCTTTGAAGAACAGTGACGAACGGATCTCCAAGGGCTTTTGGGCTTGATCTTGAAGAACAGTGATGAACAGATCTTCAAGTGCTTTTGGGCTTAATCTTGAAGAACGGTTGGATGTGTGGATTTGTCGACGTTTGTTGATCCAAAGGGCCGTTGGGGCTTGATCTTGGATGAACGGATGATGAACGATGGTGCTTTCTTCAAGGGCCGTCGGGGCTTGATCTTGAATTGGTGGATGGTTGATCTAAGGGGCCGTTGGGGCTTGATCTTGGAAGAACGATGAACGAAGAATGAGGAACACTTTCTTCAAGGGCCGTCGGGGCTTGATCTTGAATTGGCGGATGATTGTTGATCCAAAGGGCCGTTGGGGCTTGATCTTAGGATGAACGATGAACGAAGAACGCTTTCTTGATTCTTCGGGGACCTGGATGCTTGAAAGCTTCGGAGTTTCAGAGTTTCGGAGCTTCAAGAGTTTTGCCTAATGATTTTGGTCCCCCCCCCCAAATGAATGAAATGGGCTTGTATTTATAGAATTTTCCAATGCCTAATTTTGAATATAATATTCCAGATGAAATAAGTCGTTTCTACCAGGTGTTGACACGTGTCCTATTTGATGACTTTTCTAACTCATTTCAATTTTCGTTGAGCCACACGCTACGTGTAAAATTTATGTAATACATGAGCGTTGACACTTTGATTTATCGGTCAACATTTATTTACCAAAATTTCGATGTCTACAACCTCACTTGAAAAGCGAGGCGAACCTAGGCACATAAGATGAGGCGGGCTCCGAGCATGCAAAACGAGGCAGATTTCTGGGTGCTCAGAAAACGAGTCGGGCTCCACATACAGAAAAATATATTTTGAAGAACATGAATATGATAGTTTCTCATTGTGGTATGAAAAATAAAAGAAAAATGTACAAAAATATTTCAAATTCTTGAGTCACGTGTGACTTTCTGGCACCCCCAAGAATTTGAATCATTTTTGTTAATTTTTCTTTTATTTCTCTTACCATTACGACAAACTATCATATTCATGTTCTTCAAAATATATTTTTTTGGTGTAAAATCTATTATAATTTGTATTAAACACTTGTAATCAACGATTTAAAACCTAAACTTAAAAGATATTTTAACCCATTTAAATTTTCTTTAATCTAAATTTAAACTACATATTAATAGAACCTTCTTTGTCAATCAAAAGTAGATGAAAAAACTATTTAACAAAATAAAATTTTGCTATTTTTTGTTTAAACCTCACCTACAAGTGATTTTAACATCTCTAATTAAAAAGAAAAAAAAATTTAAATATACACTATGTATACATTTTATCATCTCTATATTTTTCACTTATTTTTTTACTTTCGGCTTAAATATTGTACCAAATATACACTTGTATGCCAAAAATGAAGAGGGAAAAACGACATGTAGTTGGGAAAGGCAGAACGACCAAGCGACGTGCTTAAACACTGGCGCCACGCCGCTGCCAGAAGAGTCTGAATATTACCGTTTCTTTCCCTCCACAGTTTTCTTCCGAGCGGATAAAATGCAAAAACCCTTCGTCTCAAACCCACCAATTCCGCCATGTTCAACTCACTGAGTCAACTCGTTCCCTCACTCGCTCCTCTACCGCAATTCACCGCCAACCTCTTCTTGGCCCGAGCCCTCAAACCCACCGCCGCCGCCGCCACTGCCTCCTTCTCGCTCTCCAACTCGGCCGAGTCGCACTCCAGCCGACTCAGCCTCGCGCATTCCCTCCAATCCGAAACCCTAGAAACCCTAGAATGGGCCTCGGTCTGCAAGCAGCTCTCGGCGCTGGCGTCCACAGCCATGGGCTTCTCGACCGCGCAGAAGGCCCGGGTTCCAGTCGGCCGGACCAAGGAGGAGAGCCAGAAGCTTCTCGATCAGACGGCTGCCGCGGTGGATGCCATCGCGGCCGTCGGTTCTCCACCCTCGGATTTCTCGGCCATCGAGAACGTCTCGGATATCGTGAGCTCCGCCGTCTCAGGCAAATTGCTTACCATTAACGAGCTCTGCGCTGTGCGCAGGACGCTGACTGCCGCGAAGGGATTGTTCGAAAAAGTGAAGGGCTTGGATTTGGGTGCAGATTGTACGGACAGGTATCGGTTCTATTGAGCTTTCCTTGTCTATTATTTAAGTAATTAATTATTTTATTTTCGTTTTTATGAATATATTTGGGTTGAATTTTGAACACTGATTAGATTGGGTTTAGTGAAGTACTTAATTTTAGTGATAAATTGATAAAAATGTTAAGACAAATCAAATTTTTATGATTTATTTTTTGTTAAGTTGTACTTGAACAGGTACTTGCCCCTGATCGAAATACTCAAGGATTGTGATTTCCTAGTAGAGTTAGAGAAAACGATAGGAGTATGTATAGATTGCAAGCTTTCGATAATACTTGACACGGCTAGCGAAGACTTAGAGATCATTAGGTCAGAGAGGAAGAGGAACATGGAAAATCTGGATTCTTTGCTGAAGGAAGTGTCAACCCAGATTTTTAAATCGGGCGGCATTGATAGCCCTTTGGTGACTATGCGGAGGGCTAGGATGTGCGTTGGTGTTAGGGCCACGCACAAACATTTGCTTCCGGGTTGCATAGTTTTGGATGCTAGTAGTTCTGGAGCAACATACTTTGTGGAACCTAAAGAGGCGGTGGAGTTGAACAACATGGAAGTGAGGCTTTCGAATGCTGAGAGAGCTGAGGAAATCGGCATTTTGAGCTTCCTTACATCTGAAATTGCGAAATCGGAAGTACTGATAATGTATTTGTTAGATAAAGTTTTGGAAGTGGATCTTGCTTTTGCTAGAGCTGCTTATGCTCTGTGGATGAATGGGGTATGTCCAATTTTTAGTTCCAAGGACCTGTATTCTGGTGGGGCTGGTTTTCTGGCAGCTGTAGATATAGAAGGGCTGCAACATCCATTGCTCGTTGAGTCATCCTTAAAAAATTTGTCTGATGATTTTGCATCAAGAAATCCACTTTTCTCCAACAACGGAAATGGTGTAAAAATGATTTCTGGAAGTTTATCTGGTCGTACATCTGATTTTCCAGTGCCAATAGATATCAAAATTGGATGTGGAACCAGAGTGGTTGTAATCTCAGGACCTAATACTGGGGGGAAAACAGCTTCCATGAAAACTTTGGGCCTGGCATCTCTCATGTCGAAGGCTGGCATGTATCTGCCTGCTAAAAACCACCCAAGGCTTCCGTGGTTTGATCTTGTTCTGGCTGATATTGGAGATCATCAGGTAGTTGTTTACCTTAATTATGGCAGAAACTCCTAGGTTCTTTATGTTTTCATTTGTCTGACTATGGGTTTTTTTCGATTGAAGTCTCTTGAGCAAAATCTCTCAACTTTTAGTGGGCACATTTCACGGATTCGTAATATATTGGAAGTGGCCTCAAAAGAATCACTTGTCCTCATTGACGAAATTGGCAGTGGAACCGATCCTTCAGAAGGTGTGGCTCTTTCCGCCAGCATCTTGCTATATCTCAAAGATCGTGTTGACTTAGCCGTTGTGACTACTCACTATGCGGATTTAAGTCGCCTGAAAGAAAAGGATAATCAATTTGAAAATGCAGCCATGGAATTTTCTCCAGAAACCTTACAACCTACTTACCGGATCCTGTGGGGAAGTACTGGTGATTCAAATGCATTGAGTATTGCTAAATCCATCGGTTTCAATCAACACGTAATTGAGCATGCACAGAAATGGGTGCAGAGGTTAATGCCTGAAAAGCAACAGGAGCGAAAAGGTTTGCTATATCGGTCGTTAGTAGAGGAAAGAAACAGACTGGAAGCTCAGGCCAAAATGGCTGCATCTCTTCATTCAGATATCATGGACATTTATTGTGAGGTAAATTTAAGATCCATTATGAGGCTCCTTATTTTCTTGCAATTTTCCTGCTGCAACCATTTTTCTTTTTCTTGTTTTTGTGTGGCTCATTATGTCCTTACTTATTTGCTTTTGTTAAATTGAAGATTCACGACGAAGCAGAAGATCTTGAGTTGCGCAAGAGAGCTCTTATGGCAAAGGAAACACTACAGGTTCAGCAAGAAGTGCAGGCTGCAAAATCCCAAATGGAGACTGTGCTGAAGGAGTTTGATAACCGACTCAAAATTGCTGCTGCTGATCAATTGAATTTGCTGATTAGGAAATCAGAAGCTGCAATTGCATCTGTCGTTGAAGCTCACTCTCCTGAGGATGATCTGTTGGTTAGTGAGACATCTGCTACGTCATTTACACCCCGATTGGGAGAGCAAGTTTATTTGAAGAGACTGGGAGATAAGATAGCTACTGTAGCTGAAGCACCTGGAGATGATGGGACAGTCCTTGTACAATATGGTAAAATAAAGGTTCGCTTGAAGAAGAGCGATATTAGAGCTATCCCTAGCGCTGATAAGAATGCCACGCCTAGTTCTGTCCCACGTTTGAAGCAGCAGGTATATATCCCTTCTAATTGTTCCACATGCATGATTACAACTCGTCCCTGCCTCTATCTCTTTTGACTCCTCACACAAGTTCTAGACAAATTATTTGTTATGAATTGGTAATATTTGCTTGTGCCGACACAAATGTATACTCCTGTACAAAACTGGACTTGGACTTAACAGATGCAAGATGCTTTTTTAGCGCAGACGAACGTCTGTAATTGCGCTTCTGAGGGATACCATCGAACCCACTGATAGAATCTGATCATTTTGATTTGACATTGTAGGTTGGGCGGAGTCGTAATGGGGAAACCGAAGGTGGGGAGGTATCCTATGGGCCAGCGGTACAAACGTCAAAGAACACAGTGGATCTCCGTGGCATGAGGGTGGAGGAAGCTTCTTACCTCCTGGACATGGTCCTGTCTGGTAGAGAGTCTCAATCAGTTATCTTTGTCATACATGGAATGGGCACAGGGGTGGTTAAAGAGAGAGCACTTGAGATTTTGAAAAAACATCCACGAGTAGCCAAGTACGAACCGGAGAGCTCAACGAATTACGGTTGTACAGTTGCTTACATCAAGTAAAAACGATAGTCAACTGATCGGTTTTTGTTTTATGCCGGGTTGAAGTGTCCGCACACTTTTGTAAATCTTAATCTGCAATCTGCGATGGATATGGGTTACAGAAACCTGATCTTGAACATGAGACTCCGGCATATATTTTCCGGTCAGTTCATGGGGGATTGATTCCTTTTGGTTGATTGACTCTTTCCCACAAGCATTGATGTGAATACTATTGACACAATTTGGATTTCGTAGATGCTTTTCTTCCACCATAAAACACAAAAAGCACGAAACTTAAGGGACGTTTAATAACCATTTTGATTCTTTTTGGTTTAAGTTTTCATTTGAACTCGATGCATCTTTATGCGTGCGAAACATTGTGGACCTTAACCAAGTTTCTTCTTTAGGGACAAGGATTGTCTGCCCTCTCGTGCCCTCCTGTTTTGTGTGGTCACGGTTAAGTTACGTCAACATTTTATATTATTTTTTTATAGAGATAATAAGATAAAAATGAATAGTAATATAAAATGTTGACGTGGCTTAACCGTGACCATATGAATAGGAGGGCACGGCAGGGCACCGTAAGTGGGAGTGCAGACAATTCTTGTCCTTTCTTTAGTATGGAAGAGGTTCATTTCTGAATCCACTTTGTGGGAATTCCCACATCCTAACTGTTCATTGTATATCGTGCGTCAGTTTTTGTCAGGTACTATTTGTGTTCAATTTAAAAATAAAAAAAAGTTAAATAATTTTCAACCGCACGATGCACAATGAATAACTAAGATGTGAGGATCCTTAGGATTTCTACAATTTGAATTCAGATGAGATCCAAATCCCTTTAGTATGATGAAATTTGGTGTTCGATGGTCAGACCGTGTGTCTGACCCATCCACAAAGGAGTGAGGTTCTTTATGAACTTTTTCTCACTTCATATTTTTTATACAATATTTTTTAATGTTAATACAAGAATTAACGTGAAACTGAGACGTCAAAGAATCTATAGAGTCTCACTTTGAAAATTTCTCTTTAGCATTTCCATACAGAAAACTCATTTTTTTTTGCAAAGAGATCCAACAATTCACATGGTCTCACGGTCGAACACAAGAGTCACTCCTTGGATGGAGGAGAAAAAATTAAAATTTTAATTTGATACAAATCTCAAACTCCATGCAGAAGATGCTGAAGCCTGAAAGCATAAATCATTTTCTATTAATTTTTATCGGAATTTGCAATTTAACCATGAAAGATTGTAACGTCCACCACCAAGTAGAAGCCAAAATATTTTTGGCAATAATATGACTTGCCTTCTGCAGCATTCTCCACGTCTTTTAAAGCTGCCACATGCATATTCCCACGCAACACACGCACCAATCTTGTAAGCTAGCAAACTTGCTTTCTTCAGAATCTCAGATAAGCATTTGGGAAAAATAAACTACGATTCATAGCTCTGTGTCGTTGGAGGTTTAGCCGGAAAAATGTTGACGGCTTTTGAGAAAGCGGTCGGAAAACCGCCCGAGGAGCTGAGGGTTCCTTCGAATGTGGTGGAAAAGGCAAAGACCAGAGAGGAGATTTTGGAGATTTTCCAGTCGTCGTGTCCCGAGTCCACTGTTTACCACCTTTCTAATGGAAGTTTCATGGCTTTGTCACAGGACAATGAGAGTGTTCAGCCACACCCAAGGTATTAAGGGCTTGTTTGGTATGATTAAAAGCACTTTTTTGACAACTAAAAGCATTTATGGTTTCGTTTTTGGTTTCGTTTTTTGCACTTGTTTAGCTTCCAAATGGATTTTGATCAAGATCTGCAGGAAATAGCCGAGTTCTCACATCATATGATCCAGTCGTCTAGATCTTTTCTTGCACCGAAGTCTGCACGCAATATTGAAGCTCGAATTTCGCTACTTGATCAGTTTGTGTTACTTTTTTCTGTATTTGCAGGTGCATTGTTGTCCTAGACGATGTCTTCTGCATTTTTATAGGCACTTTGGAAAACACTTCTGACCTGAGACGGCACTACGGCCTTCCAAGACAAGCAACAGAAGCTATGGTCGTTGTTGAAGCCTATAAAGTCCTAAGAGATCGCGCACCCTACCCTCCGGATCAAGTCATCAAAGATCTACAAGGAAAATTCGCATTTATTCTCTTCGATGCTAGAACTGATACACTTTTTGCTGCCAGGGTGAGTTGTTTCCGAAATTACGTAATATAATTGAAACGTATGATTCGATCGTTTGACATGCTGAGGAAAACTTTAACGTTGTTTCTTCCACAATGCAACTTTTGCAAATGTTAGGACCGAGATGGAAGCGTGGAGCTTCACTGGGGAATGGCAGGTGATGGATCCCTAGTCTGCTCACACAATCTTGACATCATCATCGAGGCTTGTGGAAAATTTTGTTCACCTTTCCCTCCAGGTTAGTCCCAAAATCCAAATTGGCGACCCTCGTTTACCTTTCCCTGCCTGAATTTGCGGCAACTTGACCCGAAGCTAAGTAAATGGTTTTAAATGGTCTAACAGGTTGCATATTCACAAGTGGAAGTGGGTTGATGAGCTTTGTTCATCCAATGCACAAGGTAAGGGCAAGTAGGCGTGAAGACGACAATGGACAAGTTTGTGGAGTGACGTTTCAGGTGGATCTTTACACGCGAATCCCCAGCATTCCGCGCACTGGTAGTGCTTCAAATTGGGCCGACATAACTCTTGTCAAGGAGGAGAATAACATTCATCCCTGAGGCTGCCTGCTAACTACAATAAGTTGTATTTTCTAATTAACTGGTGAGTTTTAAACTAGACTATATAATAAAATAGAACAAGTTTAGTGGCTGCGCCATTATGTGATCTTATTGCCCTTTAGAGGTCTTAAATGCTTATATTTTAAGGTCAAATGCATTGTTCGTCACTGTGCTTAGACGCAGATCACATTTGATCACTGTGCTTCACTCTTAAATTTCAGTCCAATTTCTGAGTTTCGTCAATAGAATTCGCGTGCCTTACACTGTTAGGGCAAAACACATTTTTGGTCACAAGTTTTGGGGGTTTTATTGAGCTTTTGTGAAACATAGTACACAATGATGCTTATAAACACCAGATATATAAATAGCATATTATTATATATAGTTGAAGATCCTGGTATGCCTAGCCTGGTTGTGGAGCCATGGCAATGGCATCCATAACTTGTGGCGCCATGGCCAAGGCGTCCAGAACTTGCACTTGAGAAGACTTGGAATTGCGGTTGCTTTTATCAGTTGCGTCTTCCATTGTTCGTGTTTGTCCTCAATTTCATGGTAGTCATTTTGTTCATGGGCTTGCCTCCATATACGTATCGGTCTTTTTGAGGTTGTAAGTGTGGACATTGGAATCATCAGTGGACGGGATCCAAGAATCAGCCAACTCCTTTGAAGGTGGCTGCATGTAGGGCGATGAACCTGTGGGCATAATTGACCTCCATTATCACCACCTAAAACGAAATCAACAATTGGAAAACCATCACCCCTTCCAGCATCCCTTCCTCCAGCCTTTATACGAAGGCAACTAGCTCCTCGGCGATCCTGTTTCTGTTCGCCACCCAACCTTCTAGTCCTTCAGATTGGTCCGCCAAGGCGTTCTCCTCCTGTTTGTCCGAAGCCGGCAAGGGTATCTGGTTTTTCAACTACTGCTCTGTCCTTGCCAATCATGACCCTATGAGTATGAGCAGAACTTACTCCCCAACCCAAGCTAAGTAATAGCAAATACAAATAGGCTATGCATATGCATCCCCATTTTTTTGTGTTTTTGCCGCCAACTACTTTCTTTTGCCTACGTAGTACGTACCTTCTCCTCCTCCTCCTCCTCCTCCTCCTCCTCCTACGTAGTACGTACCAACAACAAGAACGAGAATTGGAATCATTTGGATTCTTTATTTTTATGCATTTACTAATACAAATGAAATTGAAGGTGCGATTTCCACCTTAAAATCCATAATCCAATGCTTGAAAATAGGGGGATAGTTGATCTGAATGCCTTTCACTACTTCTATAGACTGGACTTCATATATTTGAACCTAGTGTTGCTAGGTTTGTTCTCGTGACTACATGGTTTAATTTGAGGCACCAAGTTCAAACACTTGAAAAATAACCAAAGTTGTTTATAGTATCTTTAATTTTGTCTATCCCAATAGTCCATGGTGGCTTTGTGTACACTGCCGCCCTTGCACAAAGAGTAGTCTCGTTTTTAGATGTAAATTTTACGCAAATACTTACATATAGGAAATATAAATGTTGATGTTGCTCTAACCGATAAGAAAAACTTATATAACATGGATATATCGTCACGATGTACTCGTGTCATGTAAGTTGTTCTCCTAATTAATGCATGTAAATGAGAATATATAAATTTCAAAATTCATGTATTCAGTCACTGTTTAACTCTGTGTGCAGTCTCGGTCCAATTTCTAAAAGGGCTTGGGGCAAAACACATTTTTAGTCCCAAGTTTTGGGGGGTTTTTATTGAACTTTTGTGAAACACAGTATTACACCAGAGAGAGAGAGAGAGAGAGAGAGAGAGAGAGAGAGAGAGAGAGAGAGAGAGAGAGAGAGAGAGAGAGAGAGAGAGAGAGAGAGAGATATATATATATATTTAGATTATTATAGAGATCCTGGTCTGCCTAGCCTGATTGTGGAGCCATGGCAATGGCGTTCAGAACTTGTGGAGCTATGGCATCGATAACATGCGCTTGATGCGATTCAGAATTGCGGTTACTTTCATCTGTTGGCGTCTTCCATTGTTCATGTCCGTCTTCAATTTCATGGTTGCCATTTTGTTCATGGCTTTTGCTTGCCTCCCTGGATACATAGGTCGTTTTGAGATTGTTATGGTGAACACTGCCATAATGACCACCGCCTTCCCCACCGTTACTTTCACCACCTTCGCCGCCACAATTGCCACCTCCATAGCTTCCACCACATCCACTGCCTTGGTAACCACAGCTACCACCACCGTCTCTGCATCCATATCCACCGCCCTGGTCAGCACAACTACCACCACTTTCTCCGCATCCATATCCACCATCTTGGCCACCGCAACTACCACTGCCTTCACCACCACTACATCCACGGCCACCACAATTCCCCTCATCTCCGCCACCAAAACCTGGATTGGAACTAATACCACCTCCAATAATCCCGCCTCCTATCTGTCCACCAAATCCTCCTCCAATTATTCCTCCAAGCCCTCCCCCGATTTGTCCACCCAGCCCTCCTTCCATTTGTCCGCCAACCCCTCCTCCCATCTGTCCTCCACCAATGCCTCCTCCAATTATTCCTCCAAGCCCTCCCCCGATTTGTCCACCCAGCCCTCCTTCCATTTGTCCGCCAACCCCTCCTCCCATCTGTCCTCCACCAATGCCTCCTCCAATTTGTCCTCCAAGCCCTCCCCCCATTTGTCCGCCAAGCCCTCCTCCCATCTGACCGCCACCAAGCCCTCCTCCCATTTGTCCGCCAAGCCCTCCTCCTATTTGCCCTCCAAGCCCTCCTCCCATCTGTCCGCCAAGCCCCCCTCCCATCTGCCCATCAAGCCCCCTCCCATTTGTCGGCCAAGCCCTCCTCCAATTTGTCGGAAGCCAAGGGAATCTGGTTTTATCAACTAGTAAAGCTTTATCCTCGCCAATATTAATTGCCCTGTGAGCAGAGCTCACTCCCCAGCAAAGTAACAGCAAATAAGCTACGGATGCCCATTTTTTAGGTGTTGTCATCTTTAGCAACTTATTTTCTTTTGCCTATGATCTCATGTTTAGGGTTTATATATAGTCAAGTCTGCATGCAGATCAGTATGTCCTAGTGAAAATGGCATAAAAAGGCAGTTTGTTGAGCAAAGCTACGGGAAGCAAGCAAATGAAGATGTATTTGGTTAGGGAAACCAGGGCAGCATGGTGTTTACGTGATCAAAGAATTTGTAACTGTTTTGAACTAATACTATTTGGGTAATGCTAGGAAGACTAAATTTGCAAACTAAATGATGTGTCACTAATAGGAATAAACACGTTTATCAACGTTTAAATAATAAACCAATTATCAACTTCTATGTCCTTTATGCCATCTCCAACTGAAGAGTCCAAAGGGTCAGAGGGCTTAAAATAGCCCGAAAATCATCTGAAAGCAAGGGTTAGGCCAAATGACTCGTGGGCCCCATTGGACAAAAAATGGCCAAAGGGCCAATCGGCTGGCTGAACCCAATCAACCAGCTAGCCCCTGGCTGAGCCACAAATTTGAATGCAACGGCTAACTAACATCAGCTAGCCATTATATATATATATATTTTTTTTTTACAGTTTTTTTTTGGGCCAATTTTTTTTTTTTAAATGTTTAATTATAGGCCCAAATGTGATTTGTTCAAAGCTGGGCATTGAGATGTGGCTTTTATAAACATGTTTGGTTACTCAAATCTCTCCCACAGCCGATGTGGGACTCTCCCACCCACTTCCATTTTATTTTTCCTACTTCCTCTCCCGCAGCCCATGTGGGACTCTCCCACCTACTTCCCTTTTTTTTATTTTTTTTATTTTTTTATTTTTATACTCTAAATAAAACCTCTCACACTTGACTTGAAATATATAAGTTGTATTTTTTTTTTTAAATTTTACATGTAGTTATTAAATTCAAGTTGTAGTTTTTAAATTTAAGTTGTTGTAGTTTTTAAATTTAAATAATAAATTATGTGTGGCTCTCGATTGGAGATGATTTTTTGTGACAGGGCTAAAATGAGCCATATGGCCATTTGGCCCTCGGTTGGAGAGAGTAAGAAATATGGCATTGTACTGTTCATTAAAATATTAATTTCTTGGAGGGCCAGAGAGGGCTAAAACGAGTCATTTGGCCAGCCTTCGGTTGGAAATAGTCTTAGTTTTCAAAACTTTATCTACAAATTTAGTCTCCCTAATATTACCCCTAATATTTAACAATAAAAATAAAATAAAAGCTGCAAACCTGAGTACAACGATTAAGTTGGCTAAAGCGGTGTTATTTTGCTATGTACTCAAGTTCAAATTTACTTTTTTATTGTTTAGAGTAAATTAGATTATGTTGGAATAAGGAAAAAAAAACCGAATTTAATTGATAATTTCTGCATGCAAGTAGGGTTTATGCGTAACAGTGGAAGTAAGAAAGCCTAGAAATGGCCTAATAAAACCTAATTGAAATTAACGATCCGCTTACATTGATAATTACCAATCAAATAATTCAGTAGGTAGTTAAATTATCTAATGAATACAAGAATTAACAGGTAATGACCGTGAAAGGAGAATTGAAATCAAAAGAAAAGAGAATTTGGTCGCGTCGACAGTTTTTTAGCAAAGGGTAATTCTATTAATACCCCACAATCTTGTGAAGGCACCCACACCTTCATTTTTTCACTTAAATCTCCTCCTTTACCCCTACTTAATCTATATCTATATAAATATTTATAAAGTGAGAAGGATAAAAAGGTGAAACATTTAAAATGCCAAAAATTGTCCTTTAAGAATTCTAAAAATTACAATTGAACCATAAGAATTTAAAGTAATTCACCACATTTTAATTTTGAATGAATTTTAAATTTAAAACTTTAATTAAAAAAAAACTCCCATGTTAGTGGGTGATTTCATGGTTTTGCTTTTCTTTTTCACTTTTTTTTTTGAATAATTTTTTAATAAAAATATGAAATAGTTATTTAAAAAAAAATTAAACGACATAATCTAATATAAAAAGGCCAATTGCGTGTGGCAAGAGGCTAGTTTAAGTTAATAGACAAAGAGAAAACCCCGGTCACCTAACTATTCCTTACCGGCATCAACACCTCATGCAAACATAGGTAAAAAAGCCCAACGAGTTGTAATTTCTCATCAGGATAGCACAACTCTCTCTCTATTACATTTGCATCTGATACTTTGGAAGAAATGTCTCTTTTTATTTTTTTATTTTTATGTTCTTTTGAAGGTGAGAGACAAAGAGGGGCGACAATGGGGTGGCTTGTGCCGGACGATGACTTCGACGACGAAGGTGATAAAGGTAAAGGTGTATCTGGGTTGATGAGTTGAAATGTTGGATTGTAACCAAATAAATGGGAGTTTCCAGCTGATGTTTATGGAGGTAATCTGATATACTTGGTTGTCGAATTCGGGCTGCTGAGTGTGCTTTTTGTTTTTTGGAATAGGGGTGTGGGGAGTGGGGTGACTTCAAAAGAATGAGGGACAAAACTGAAATTTTTGAGAAATTTTTTTAATGTGGGGTGTGTTTATAAAATTGTGGGGGTGTGTATAAAATAACCCTTTAGTAAATTAGGAGGGTGTTTTAATGCCCCTTAGCCCCCATCTCTTCTTTATTGTTTGTGATTTTTTTTTTTTTTTTTTTTTTTTTGCAGGGGTTTGTGATTGGGGTTTGGAAGTGGTGATTCTCCAATGGTGTGATGTTTTCATTGAAGAAATCTGGTTGAGATTGTTCTCTTGTTGCGGGTTTGAAATTTTGATGTTGCAATGCCTTTGTCGAATCCAACGCAGTGTCGATTTTCTTAGGGCAACTACCCTTGTGGCTTATGGCGAGGTGGAAGTGGCGGCAGTGGTGGCGCCACCAAATGCATTTTGCCTTTGCGGGATAAGGATTAGGGTTCTCTTTTTCGTTTTTTTTTTTTTTTGGTTGAATGAGCTTATTGACTATCCTCGATTTTTATTGGGCAATTTGATGTAATATGTATTGGGTCTTTCTCATTTAATGAAATTTATATTGTTTTCAACTAGAAAGGAGAGCGTGCGTTATGCGAGAAAACCTAGGTCACGCGTAAAGGCGTACACCATTCTCTGCCCTCCTTTCACTAGTGTGGGGCCCATTATACAGATAATATTTAAGTACTTATTAGTGAGTACTCTATATACTCACTTTTTAATTCTAGTCTAATGATATTTTAACACATGTTTTATTTCTATAACACTAATACTATTGCTGCATTAGATACTAGAATGAGTCATAACTAATATAGTCTTCAAAGAAAACATTGGTGGCATATAAACTTTTATGTGTAGTTGAAACATAATACGGTATACCATGTGTTATAATATTATGACACGTGATGTACTACGTTGTGTTCTAGAAATATTAAAAAATCTCTCGTCAACCAATGACATAACATACATATAAATCTTCATATATTTATTGATATAGAATTGCGTATCAACTTAGATATGAAAATTTAAAAAACATACCAAACATTCTCCCAATTTAATATCAAACAATAAACTAATCTATCAAAGCGGTTTGGTATAGTCTCCGTTAAGTCACTTTCACCCATTAATGCATGTAAACCCGAATGTATCAACGGCCACATCACTTACGCGCACGTGAACTCCTCCTAACATCACACAATTTAGTTGACCAAATCCATGTATTTTTTGTTGGTATTTAACCAGGTAGGCAATCACCAATCAGTACTTAAACTCTGAGACTTGACCACTCAATCTCAATCACTCAGTGGGCCAAAAAAATTCAGTGTCTTTGGGAGTTCCGCAACAACTTCCATCGGAAGGAACGTGCTTTGGAAGGGAGAAAGCGAGTAAGCAAACAGCGAAGGCGCCAAAAGCATGCTGCTTTCTTCTGTTTCTTTGTTTTTGTTTTTCAAGTTTACTTTATTCTCTATTTTTTTTTTATTTATACAAAATATTCTTCAATCCACTCACTCTCATAACTTCACTCGCATTCAGATTTTGTTGAAACCATTCAATTCAATATTATCACTGCTGTTGGATTTTTGAAAAAAGAAGAAAAAAACAGCGTCTTTTGAGTACCAAAAGCTTCAAACTTTGAGTCTACGAGTCCGAAATTCCGATTAATTCTTATGAATTTTAAATTTTTGTTCAAATGGGGTTGATTGTTTTGCATTCCTGATTCAAACCCAGAATTTTGTTTAGGGAAGAATCCACCTCTGTTGTTCTAATCAGTCTCTTCGTCTTCCCCAGAATCCATTTTTGTGTTACGTGTTTCTGGGAAAATGGAGGCCTCTGGTTCGAACGGCGCGTCGAGTCTCGCTGACGATATGGCGCTGAGGGGTTTGCTGGAGGTGTTTGGGGCTGCGTTTTCTCTCGATCAAATCACTTCTGCGTATTGCAAGGCAGGGAAGAATGCTGACGCCGCCGCCGAAGCCCTGGCTACCTCTGCACCCAATGGCGGAGAAACTTCCGGATTACCTGCCAATAGTATCTATAAGAAGCCGCCTTATCAAGAAAATGGGAATGGGAATAGGAATAGGAACGGGAATGGGAATCCCAGACCTTCAAAGCCGAAATATCGGCCGGTTTCGGTTGGTAGCGTTTCGAGCATTATTGGGAAGCAGTATGTGAAGGAAACGGCGCCGGCGCCGGCAAATGGGTCTAATGAAGCAACCAAGCCCTTGAAGCTGGACTCCAGTGTGTTGCCAATGTCGGAAAATTGGGTCGAAAACGATGAGTCGTGTTCCTCAAGGGATGAACTGCTCCACCAGGGCATGGAGGATTTTCTGTTCAGTATGCTTGGAGTTGGGTTCAAGCTAGAGAGGGATCAGATTCGGCAAGTTCTTGGTAAAGTTCGATCCTTATCTGTTCTGTTTTGAGATTTTCAGTTTGACTTGTTCTTTGGTTTATAAATTTACATGAAGGTTAGTCTTTACGAGTCTGAAATGATTGTTGAAATTGTTAAGGATGATTTGAATTTTCTCTAGCATATTGTGGATTATTAGTTCTGATGAATTCGCTCGTGTTGGATTTCTCGAATGGAGATGATATAATGCTTTTACGATTAGACACGCTCTCACTCACTCACTTGAAGTATCGTACACACTCATGGTTATCGGAGTTGGGAGTGAAGAGTCGGAAGAAAGAACATTGAAGTGTAGAGGGCAAGAGTGAGTTGGTTTAGAGAAGGAAGACGAGAGTAAAAGTAAGAAAATGATTAAGTTGGGGCAATGCATGATCCTTATACCGTAATTAAAAGAAAGACTTGGTGCATGAACTGAGTGTTGAAAGTTTTGATTTCAATCTGTTTGATGGTTGTAGATTTAAGATGACTACTTTGGATCCAATTGATGGATGTTCGTGTTGTATTTAAGCGTTGTTTGTTCAATGACCTTAATGTGTGAACCCTAATCCTGGTTTATTTGGAATATGCAGATAGTTGCGGATATGATATGGAAAAGGTACACTAAACCCTCCTTACTTCTCGAAACCTGAAGGGCAGTTTCTTTACAACTGTTGTAGCCCTTTCGTTACTATATGATGTATGTGTAAAATAATTTTCCCATTTGCTGATGTTATACAATTCCTTTTAATACCATTCAGAGCATGGAAAAACTGATTAATCTGCCAGCATCAACTTCCGAGAAAAGGAACGAACTCATCAGAAAATCCAGTGAGAAGGTTAGTAAACTTCCAAAATGGGATTTGTGTGCCTTCTGATTTCTAAACAATTACATGTCAAGCTGCATCACTAATGTACATTCCAATCAGTTCTTCAGAAAAGTTAATTCAATTATAATATAATTTGTTTAAGCTTTTGGATTTCTTAACTTCATATAAAGAGGTAAAGACGACGAGAGCTCACAATTCATGTAAGTGGATGTACTCATGCAGTTTTGTGCAGCTGTTGTAATCAATATTTGAAAGTAAAAATGTCTTTATTGTTTTGTCATAGTTTTGATGGACAGGGGGGGCTCGTTTTGTGTAGCATTTAGGTTTTAGGTACAGTAAGATCTAGTCCATGAAATCGGTTCAGCATGCTTAGTAAATTCTACTTTGGTATTTATCTCCCTTTCCGTCTTATTTGAGATTACTGTCCAGTCTGCAGATTTGTCCCTGAAATATGAAGTATCATCCGACAGAAAATCCAAAAACTCCACCGAAGGGTATGCGTTTTCAATACTTTAGTGTTCATTAGTTCCTAGTTTATTATACCAATCACTCTGACTTGTTTGTGCTCGTCTCATGCAGTAACAGAGATAGGGCTTCAAATACAAACGAAGCAGAATCTACTGGACAGCAAAAGGAGAGAAATGATCTCGAGAAGGATATTCTGGCTTCTCTGTTTTGTGCTTCCGAGAGAGCCGAGGAGAGACTAGTGGAGAGACCAAGAAGAACAATAAAGTCAGGGAGTGGATATGGAGCATATGGACAACTAGTTGCTGAACCTCCGGACGATTTCATTTCAGAGTACAAGTCGGCTGTTGTGTATCAACATCATCATGGCGAGGAAGGTATGCACCCTTTTCTATATATGGGAGAAACTTCATTTCCCTAATATCCTTTGTGGAGGGAATGGTGCCCTTAAGAATTTATTCAATTCCTATGAAATCCAGATTAATCCAAAAGACATTTTGAGGCCGTAGCTAATTTCCGTGTGTGTTGCTCGTGTCAATTTGTCTGTCAAATCCATGTTTATGCTTGTATTTTCCTTTACAATTAAAGTGTGCTAGAACTACAGATGCAGATGACGAAGATAGCTACCAGGTTCTCCGTAGATCTGTGAAGGAGTATCGGAGTACGATGAAGGACTATTACCAGGCTGTATGTATCTTTTTATGGCTTATCTTATGTGCAATTGTTTGATATATAAAACATGGAGGGTAGTGTCTCTTAGTAGCCTTAAATTTTTACACACTATTGAGTAAGGATATCATTTCGTTTGTTAGGCTGTAGCCGCATTTGCTAAGGAGGATCATGATCGCGCTTACAAACTTCTAGAACAAGTAAGGTTTCCGTCTTTCTGTTATGAAGTGATTGGATATGATTTATATTTTTTTCATACAAATAAAAGAAAAAGAACTAGTTTCCTTAACAAAGAATGACAGCATCTTGTGACTCTGCTTCAAAAATTGAACAAGGCGTAGTTTGATACAGAACCTGACCTGCTCACGCATCTAAGCTAAAATGATAAGATATCAAAATTTCAAGTGTAGAACAACCCCCTCATTGGTAATTTTTTTGCGTCGAGAAAATTAATTTATGACTTCTATTGTGCTACTGCAGGGACATTTTTTCCTCAAAAAGGCGCGTGCAGCAGAGGATGAGTCGAATGAAGTGATTCTTAAAACTAGGTTAGAATCCGTTTTATCAAAAGTTCTGTCATCTGTTGCTTTGTATTCCTTGTCAGAAATGCTAATTATTATCTTCTTCTCGTTTATTTTGTTACTTGTCAGAAATGTTGAGACTCAAGGTGAAATAGTGCTTGACTTGCAAGAACGCGGTGCCAAGGAGGCAATACGTCTTTTGAAGTGTCAAATTTCATCATTTTCTGGCATCTCATGTAAGTAATTGTTCTTGTGTTCCTATTTTTCTTTGAACTTCTTCCCATGTTTATTGAAATCGTCTCCTATCTTCGAGTCAGCAATCAAGTACCTTAAGGTCATATGCGATACAAAAGAGGAAGATATCTCAAAAGGATCGCGAAGACGATCATTGGTAAGACTGATTCATAATTATTTGCTGCATCTGTTTAACAAATGCTTCGTTATTTGACTTTTGTATGTCAAATTGACACAGGTTCTGAAGCTACTGGAGGAAGAATCGATTAAGTGGACCGAAGGAGAAAATGCTGGAACAATACTAGTCCAATTAGCCAGTGTTAATCGAAAGCAATTAACATTTCTCACAAAGAAATGAATTCAAGTGCTTTCTCGAAATGGTGCTTATGAGATTGAGATTTAGGGATGATCGACGACCAAATCGTTGGAGGAGAAAGTAACGAAATTTTGCGAAATGTGATTAAGATTTTGAAAGGAGTTGGAACTGATGATGTATACTTTCTTTTGAGTGGTGAAAATCTCCCACTACCAAAGAAAAAAAGAAGAGGCATTTGCTATGTATTGGCTTGGGACTAAACTTTAATTTCATCTTTTGTTTGAAATCTTGGATTGAATGTTTCAGATTTACTCACACGAGTAACGTTCTCTTGTTAGATTGTGAATTTACGCTATGCATTCAAGTAATAATTAACCAATGCATCATTTATGTTTACAGTTCGACAACATAACGTGTCAAGATTCAGGCATTACAAGAAAATGTTTTCTATTATCACCTCTCAGACGCTTTAAAAATATTTTAATATTAATTAAAATTTCATGTATACATCCATCCATACAAAAGTTAAAGCAAACAACTTAAAGATTATTTTTAATGTTCGAACCCTGCAAAGTTAAAATTAAATTACAAAACGTATACCAAAACTTCAACAAAATAAAAAGGTAAAAATAGCACTATCAACCTAATAAAAGATTTAATTGAGGTCGGATTGAGATTAGGAGGGTTATTAAATTGAGTTAGACAAAATCGAATTCGGGTTGATCCAACGTAAGTTGCACCCTACAAACTAAAACTCACCAAGCAATATCGTGTGGATAGAACCCACACATACACGATAGAGGAATCAATCCCAAGAGAAATCAACGGCGAGAGATGATCCATCGCATTCCTCCACGATTCGTCAGCTGAAAGAGTACGTTCGCAAAAGGCCACAGCGTCTTCTAGGTCTTTCCATGGTCATTCTGCTCTGATATAATAAGCAGCTTCAAAAACCTCACACACTCTCTCTCTCGCGCTTTTGGTTGTGGGGTTTTCGAATTCAGCAGACTCCATTCTCGATGGGTGGCTCAGTGAAGGATGTGCAGTCGAAGAAGGAGCTCGATAGCTTGGTTCACGGCGGCGCGCCGGTGGTTCTGCACTTCTGGGCGTCGTGGTGTGAAGCTTCCAAGCACATGGACGAGGTTTTCGCCCATCTCTCCACCGATTTCCCTCACGCCCATTTCTTAAGGGTAACGTTTCATCCTCTGCTCTAAAGGTTTTCGCTTTTTCTGTTTTGTGTGTGTATGTATATATTTCTTAATTTAAATTTTAATCTACTTTTGGTTGTAAATTTGTAGGTAGAAGCTGAGGAACAGCCGGAGATATCCGAGGCCTATTCGGTTTCTGCTGTGCCGTTTTTCGCCTTTGTGAAGGTATGCTTGTTGGGTTTATACGTGTTTTCTTGGTGATTTTGATGCTGCCTGTGTGATTTTTGAATAAGCATGATTAGGTTGTTCAATTTCGAATGTGAAAACAGGTTTTACATTTGGTTAATCAGGTTGTGTGAATGTGGTGGGGTATTTAGCTTGCATCTGGTGGCAGGTGGTTTACAATTGAGTTAAGAGTTTATTGTTATTGTTAATTATAGGATAATAGTTGCGGTACGATAGTTTCTAATGAGAATTAAGTATTAATACGCTCCGTTTATGATGCCAAACTCAAAATTTGAGAGAGGGTGGTAGAAGTTCAATTGGAACACTTTGTTAGTGTGTGTGACTGGAGAAGGACTAGGATCTGAGGATGGTGGCATGGATTGTGATGTGAATATCAGATATTAAAAGAAGCCTTATGTTACACCTTATCAATTTGAATGGCTATCCACCCCGAAGAATGTGAGAGAATTCGGATGGTGATTTGGTTTGTTATACTTCGACTTAAGACGTGCTCTGTGAAAATAACCAGGCCTGCTACTTTCGAGTTATTTGTTGCAGGATGATTTATGACTCATGTGTTTGGAAGATGAAGTAGTGCAAACTTAGTTGTCACATGCAATATAGTGATACTCATTCTAATAGGATAAGTGGTAAAGCGTGTAAAGTTTCAATTTACTGAGTAATCCCATATGAATGATGTTAATGAACTTTTGTAATTAATTCTGTGTATTTTTCTTCTCTTGGTCATTTTCTGTTTGTGTTTTCATTTGTCAGGATGGAAAGGTTGCTGATACATTAGAAGGCGCAGATCCATCCAGTTTGGCCAATAAAGTTGCTAGGATTGCGGGATCAATTAACCCTGGAGAACCTGCTGCTCCTGCAAGCCTTGGGATGGCTGCTGGATCGACCATACTCGAAACAGTCCAAGAGTTAGCAAGAGAAAATGGTTCTTCCCAGGTGAAAACTCAAGTGCAAAATGGCCCTGCTGATGCCTTGAAAAGGCGGTTGCAGCAGCTGATTGACTCCAATCCAGTCATGCTTTTCATGAAAGGTAGCCCTGAGGCGCCCCAATGTGGATTTAGCCAAAAAATTGTTGACATTTTGAAGAAGGAGAATGTCAAATATGGAAGTTTCGATATTCTTTCGGACAGTGAAGTCAGGGAGGGGTTGAAGAAGTATTCTAACTGGCCAACATTTCCGCAGCTTTACTGCAAAGGGGAGCTTCTTGGTGGGTGTGACATAGCAATTTCAATGCATGAGGGTGGTGAATTAAAGGAAGTTTTCAGAGACCATGGAATTGATACTACTGATTCTGCTGGGGCAAAAGTAACTGAAGCTGGAAGCGGAAAGGGTGGAATCTCAGCATCTACTGGTGTGAGTGAAACTCTTAACTCTCGACTCGAAAGCCTGATTAATAAAAGCCCTGTTGTGCTGTTTATGAAGGGAAAACCAGATGAACCCAAGTGTGGTTTCAGCCGAAAGGTGGTCGATATCCTTGTGCAAGAAAAGGTGGACTTTGAGAGTTTTGATATTCTCTCTGATGAAGAAGTCCGTCAAGGGCTTAAGGTTTATTCAAACTGGTCCAGTTATCCTCAACTATACATCAAAGGTGAACTAATTGGTGGATCAGATATTGTTTTGGAGATGCAAAAGAGTGGTGAGCTCAAGAAGGTTTTGGCAGAGAAAGGGATTGTTCCGAAAGATACTCTTGAAGATCGTTTAAAGAAATTGATTACTTCTTCACCAGTGATGGTCTTCATCAAGGGCACACCCGATGCACCCAGATGCGGTTTTAGTTCCAAGGTCGTGAATGCCCTTAGAGAAGAGGGTGTGAGTTTTGGGTCCTTTGATATTTTATCCGACGAGGATGTGAGGCAGGGGATCAAAGTCTTCTCCAACTGGCCAACGTATCCTCAGCTATACTACAAAGGTGAGCTGATCGGAGGTTGTGATATCGTGATGGAGCTGAAAAGCAACGGAGAGCTTAAAGCTACCCTCACAGAGTGAAGCGCAGCCTCGTTTTATCAAATAATCCCGGCAAAGCAATTTTTATTCTGATGTTATGCAGTGTCTGCTGACATTATACACATTCCAAAAGTTTGCTTGAGATGCTGTCTTATTAAACGCTTTCATATGTTTTCCTGTGCAATCGACGATTGCAAATTTGGGGTTATTTGGGATGGTTCTAAGCAAGATCATCAAGTTTATCGGTTGCTGCTTTGCTTTTTGTTCAAATTTTAGTTGTTGCCATATAGTACCTTGGACGTTTTGCATGCTTAGGCTTAATTTTGTCCCATAATTTTATGTTGATTTGTTCAATTCAATTGCTAAAACTAAATGGCAGTGGAGGAAGTGAGATTTGTTAAATAATCCAGAGTTTGTTTAAAACTGCTTTTTAAATAGTTGAAAATGCTTTTGGAATTAATCTTTAGTAAACATGCAAGGAAATTTTGAAAAAGCACTAAAAGTGCTTTCTACAAGAAGCATAACCGGTGCTTCGTGCAGGAAGCATTTTGAAATCAAGAAATATTTTCTCTAAAAGTTAACGCGTTGTCCAGTTATTTTAAGAGCACTTCCAAATGAGCTCTAAACGGTTGTCTTGTGTGATAGATTTTCTGTTTCTTAGCTTGAAAATTCTAAAACAATAACTAATAGGAAAACTAATGAAAATGACTTGAAAACTTTGAGTTTTAACAATAAGGACAAAATAAAAGGTAAAGTGAATAGTACCAGAATTAACTTTTTCGTGTAAAAATGTAATTTTTCGTTAAAGTTTCCCTAACTAATAGGGGCCGATGAATGGTAAAAATGCTTTTATGGAATATAACATTTTTCTCACAGGACTCAGCAAAATCTTACGAAATCTCAACAATCGCATTTTTCACATAAATTGTTACGGTTTTTAATCGCGAAACTCCACAAAAACCGTCTTAAAATCTGTTTTTGCAGACCTTTCGCCACGCCCTAAGCTTCCGCAGATGTTCTAATCTGCGGATATGTGTTCTTTGTTTTCTTTAGTGGCAAAGATGTCCTCTGCTTCTTCGTCATCAACATCAATTTCATCAGCTTCCATACGATCCGTAACACTACTTACTTCTTTACCCTCTCTTACATATGCCTTTAACAACGCACGATACATGTGCTTGTTCACCAGGATGACATTCCTCAACGCCCCAACAAAAGCTTCCGTATCTTCGGCACTGCCTTCATCACCAAGCCAACTCAATACGGTTGTCACAACTCCAAGGTTAGGTTTCCACCGTTTCTCGGAAGACAGACAGAGAGCCGCCTTCATGCACTCGAAAACCTTCTCCGTCTCACCCCTATTTGCATACCCAGCAGCCACTATTTCCCAACTTCTCGCGGTGGTTGTTTTTCCCTTCTCCATCAAGTCTTCAAGCAGAGCTTCTGCTCTCTCATATAATCCCTTTACCGTGTAGCCTATAATGAGAGTTTGTGGCACCCGAAAATCGTAACAGTTTCCGGACAATTCCCACTCCTCCATCACCTTCTCAGCTTCATCGAGCTCACCGAGCCTCACCAGAGATACCAACATGCCCATATAATCCCTGTTTATGCATCTCTTACAAGCACTCTTCTCAACACCCCATAATCTCAAAACTTCACCCTTATTCCCCATACTCGCATAGAGCGAAATCAGATGATTGTAGCCAAGTCCGTCTTTGCTTTCCAGCCTCTCTTCCGACTTCTTTAAAGCATCCATTGCCTTGTCGGTTTGGCCTTCTTTTATATAGAAATTGGCAACGACAGCATATGTGTTCCAGTCCACGACGAAGTGAGGCTGGCTTTCCATCTCTTTAAAAACCTTCTCCATTCCTTCAAGATCAGACCTCACACCATACGAATTGATGCAGATTCTATAGCTGAAGTTGTCGGGAGGGACATTGTTCTCCTTCATCTCAGCTAGAACGCCCGGGACCTTCTCATGCTGGCCAACATTCGTATACAAACACATGATGTCGTTGTAAGTTAGAGGCGAAGAAACAAATCCCATCTCCTTCATTTTTTGCAAATGAGCGAGGGACTTATCCACTTGGCGCTGCCGGACATAGCAATTCAGAAGAGCACCATACGTCTTGAAGTTCTTATCTTCCTCCCTCAAATCATCGAAATATTCTTCCACGGAAACAAACCCGCGCACCTTCCCAATCAAATCCAGCTGCACGGCATGCTCAACCGGCGAAAATATGCAAATCCCCTTCTGTTTCATCCACTCCGAAATCTGCAACCTATAAGACATTACTTCAAAAGCAGAGGACTTTCCAATTACTTTTGATACAAACAAACACATTATCTAACCAAAATCCTAATTCCCACTCTCACTCACTTCCTTTAACTAATATTAGTTACTTTGATGCATATTTCAATTTTCTTTCATTTTCTGAGCAACCAAACAGGGGATAACGCAAATTGCAAGGGAAGAAAGAAAACCTGGAGGGCTTGTGAGAAGCGTTTCCGCTTGCGGAGGTCGTGAATGATGCGCTGAAGCTCCGCGACTCGGACCTTGTTGCCATTGAAGACCCAGTCGTCGAGCTCCGGAACCACGTTCAGGCTAGGGTTTCCGAGCGGACTGATTTTGTTGTATAGGGTCGGCTTCTTGGTCCTGCTCGTGTAGTAGGACCTGCTCGCTATCGCATTTCGGATTAGGGTTTTGGCAAAGAGCTTCGGATCCATGGTTTAGAGTTTAGGGTTTTTGGAGTTGGGGGAGAAGAACCAGAGTAATGAAAATGAAGGGGGCTTTTAGAGAAAAAGGGCTAAAATATTTGAGAAATTGGGCCTTGTAGTTGGGCTGGTCTGGTTAAATATGGGCTAGTGGGCTTTATGCAGAAAAAGTAAATAATTTTCCTAGAAATAGTTAAATATATTTATGAGAAATAACCATGTGAGGTTCAATAGTGGGTGAATTTAATGGTGTTAAAAATGCGGTGTTATGGATCCGTCCTCTTTATTGTAATACTTACATCCACCCTCTCGATTGATTTTGATTCCTAGTATGATAAACTTTCTTTATTTAATCAAACAATAAAAATAATCAGAACCGTTTGTTTTTTTTTTTTTATCATTAGTTAAAGATCATTTAAAAAAAAAAAAAAAACTCAAGTTGATTTGAAGTCCGTTTAGTTATTTAAGTTGTCCACCAACAATTAAGGTAAACAATTAGTATTCTCGTGATGAACTGCCAATTTCTTTTATTCATACATATGGCTAAAACGGTCATCCACTCGAATGAAATTGTTTAGAGATATCGTTTCAATGAACTGCCAATTCTTTTATTCCATAAAGCCAAACTAATTTGTAGTGTGCCATCAGCATCGAACTTTGTTCTGATGGTCGTCCATGCACTGAGCAACGCAGTCCAACAGCTTACTTTCCAGTGTTTTGAACTGAGCTATTTGCACCTGCAGCTCCAACTTCTGCTTTCTCAGGTTCTTATTCTCCTCCATTAATAGCAGGCAGTTGTTTTCTTCTGCTGCTACCACTGCAGTGCTTGTGCTCCCACTCTCTTCTGAAGCCTTTAGATACACTGGAAAAGCACTTGGTTCGCATTTCTTCCTGGTGATCTCCACTAGCATCTCCCTGCAGCCCTTCTGGAATTTCTCATGCTTAAATTGCCACTCTTTTCGTGATGTTTTTTTGAATCCCTGCTTTAGGGTTTGAGGGTTAGGATCACAAGTTAAAATAGCTAAGCCTCTGACTAATGTTGGGGCTGCTTTTATAGGAAGCACTTTTGCTCATAAGCAAGCACAAACCAAGCCTATGGTTTGAGTGTGTTGTAAACCCATCCGAATTATGAGATAAAAAAATAACCTAGGATATATGTAGCTCATCGTTCATGATCATAAGTTCTTTTACTAGAAGCACAACCAAATTTTCACTAAGAACGCAAGTGCTTCTTTAAGACTTTAAAAAGTACTAAAAATAGTATTGTGATTGAAAAAGCTCCTAATTATTTTTACCAAATATTGTAAAAAAATTAAAGACGTTTTTAACTATTTTAAAAGCGGTCACAAAAAGAGAACCAGGCATATACATCTTTTACCTAAAATTCTTGTCGTTGGACTAAGAAAACAATTTTGTTTTGGGAGAATGGTATTAGACAAAATTGAAGAGGCCATATTCCTGCAAAAGGATAAAAGGGTACCTACCACGATTAGACTTGTTTATTCCAAAACCAAATTTGACCATTGAACCGCTAATGATTGCTAATTAGACTACAAACATACGGATGCACATGGATTTGAAAATAATTAAGATAAAGGACAATAAGATTTTACCTTGGCTAAAATAATTGAAGAGTCCAGGGAGATACTGTGACCAAAAGGAAAATAGGTGAAAATGGATTTATTTTGAAATTTCTAGCGTGAAATTGAGAAATATTCATTTTTTCTCTCTCACGTTACATCAAATTAAGTAACATGAGAATTAAAGAAAACATGTTAAGAGGAGATAAAAATGCAGTTACACCAGGTATTTCACATGGTGGGTATAAGTTTATGGTTTATTATCAAATAATTATATTTTCTTGTAGTTTGACTATTGTTCCGGGAGAGGTATAATTTGAAGAAAAGTTGGGGTTACCATCATAAAACTAATTGGTAATATGAGAAATAGTTCAATTTCTTATAAGCACCAACAAGGTCCCTCTCAACATGCACTCTCACGTGTGATGAATTTTCAAGCTTAAAACAATACAAATCAGTGATGCGAAGCACATGTGGTCGTTATGTTTCATATTGGGGACAACCTACTCTGATACCTACACCAACCAAACAGAAAACCATCATCCTCAATCCAAGAAATCTTTTAATGAGTACACCAGTCAATGGTTCAAACCCTAGATTTTATTCTCTAATCTATGAAATAATGGGTTCTTAATCAAGTGATAAAAAATAACCAAAGAAAACATTCTTAGCTTTCTAAACCTTTGATAAGATACATATATTTTCCATAAGTGTATTCTTTGTATAAAGATAGAATGCTAAATATAGCCGATGAAATTTTGAGTTCAAATTTAATAGACGGAAATTGTTGAGATAGAAAGAAAGGGCAACTCACATAGGTATTAAGCTGGCGAATGAAGCTGGAGAAATTGTTGTGCTTGAAATATTTAGGCAACAAGAGCTCTGAGAAATCATCAGGAGACCATACTATAAATCCAGTGCCCTCTACATTCCATGACACAATATTTCTCTTCCCACCACCATCTCCTCCGTCATTTTCTTCTAGCAAATCGAACGTCTTAGATAGAAACGGAGCGGTGCTTCTTGTCCGGGAAGATTTTTCAGCCATGTATGGCTGGCTGGCTAGCTAGCTAGCTTTTGAATCTTTTGTTTCCAAGTACGGCCTCTTATTTATACCATGCTCTTCACCCTCTAGCTTTTGGAAACTATTAGCTAATGGCGTGGAAGGTGGACTGCTTCCTTTTGGCTTTATTTTTCTTTGCTCTTTCTTTAAGTTTCTTAGTTCATGCAACTTTCCCACAAGCCTAATTTATAACATGGATATTATATCATTTTAAGATTTGTAAAATAGATGGAGGCATAGAATTTTCATTATTCTCTCCTTGGACAATGGCACGTGGAGGATCTATAAGGAGTACTCGTTGAGTGTAAGCCAAGGCTACACTTAAATTAGTAGTTGTCCTTTACTACACGCCTCAGTATTTTGGAGCCATTTTTTCTTTATAGTACTCGTGATCGATGAGAATAATAAAGGAGCGTTGGACAATTTTATGTTTAACAAATAATAATAATAAAAGAGCAATTGCATATACTGATATTTTCGTGAATTTATTAGTGATGAAACTTATTTATTTTTATTTTAGATGAATAATGAAATACACGGTCAAACAAAAGTTCTACTATTTGACTTGACTAAACAAAAAATCCCACTATATAATGACCATAAGACTCTTTTTGTTACGTAACAAAAACTCAAGTAGTCGTGTAGAAAATTCTAGGTACAAATAAAGATGTGAAATTTAGGGTTTGGGTGCATTGAATGATTGTTTACTCATCGGTCATCCCAAAGGTACCCCTCAAGAAATTCAAACATTGAAAAGATAATCAAAAGGGCCGTGGAAGTCTGACCAATTTTGGAACAATCTGGCAGAGTTTCTTATTATGTCCGCAAGGCTGCAATGCTCTCATGAATTATATATTTCTTTCTTTCTTTCCATGTGAGTATGGTCTTCCAGTATTGCTGCTTGCATGCATGAAAGAGAGGGTTGCCTTCGGGGAAGGCGGACACAAGTGGTGCGGGCCGTCGTCAGTGTAGAGTTAGGTTCCGCAACGAGTGCAACTCTTCGTGTTTAGACCCCGCCGTTGAGTGACTCAATTTCCTTAGTCCTTTTTCTGTGAAAACGAACTAACCTTTTCCACCTTCCATCCTGCGTTTCCTTGCTTGAGACTGCTTTTTATTAGCCGAGTCATGAATAACCCCGGTGGGAGCCATGGTTTACCCGGCAGAGCTTCATATATATATATATATATATCCTTGCTCTTTGTCTAATCTTAGACTAAAGGTACCAAACCGGGCTACCTTGAACTACATTCAATCCCGGAAAACCACAATGCTTAGCTATAGTCGGAGTACAACATCGAATAACCGTGTCATGATACAACGATTACTTTGCAGAGTTTTGTAAACATGCAAGAATGAAAACCTTGTTCTTTGCTTTACAAAGTTCCCACTGTAAGTGAGTTACCAAACTCATCTCATGTTACTTGTCATGGAGTTTGTTCCATGTCCGAAGGTACAAGACTAAAGACACTACAGACACGTCCACATGGCACTTCATCATGTGAGATCTTACAATGGCGCACTTAGTTGGTTATTAAGGCATCATCCTAACGAGCCTACCAAACCCACAAGAACAATATGTGGTTTCAAATGGTATATTTGTAGATATTCACCATATCTATAAACCCCTAATGGCGCCACATGCACAAATTAACCACGACTGTGTCTAGAAGATACATAAGTGATCATCACGACAGAGAGCACCACCCCCATCCAAAGGACAAAGTCCTTCGGTGCTAGAACTTATTTGTTTCTAATGAATTTGTTTCTAATGAAGTTGTAGTTGGATGAACTCCTTTGAGCCCTTGGTCGCACCTTGACATCTTTCAGGTGGGTCGCCCCACTCCACCTCTGTATGTAGTAAGTGCTTTCGCCTTCTATTAGGGGTGGGTGGGTGGATGACCTTCATCGTTTCTAGGTAAGCTGGGTCGATCATAACTTTCTTGACTGGCCTCTTTAATTGGGTTGCGCTATCAAGAAGCATTTTCCTACAACAGTAGTTATCCCCGTCTTCGGGCCAATAATCCCACGATTAATACCGATGATAAAAATAAATTATTTGTAATACGATATGATATGATATTTTGAACTACTCTATTATGTTAAAGTGGATTCATATTTGGACTTAAGAGATCAGATACATTGCTTTAATCAACTTACCTAACACACATATGCATTGAGACTAATAAATTTACCAGTACAATATAAGACCAAGGACCAATAGGAGCCTTTCATGAATTAAAGTGTCGGGAACAAAAAACCAATAACACCAAGGGGAGTACATACAGATTCCAAATTGAGCTACAAGTTGACCAATTAAGAGCATTTATCTCCACATTCGAGGTTCCATATTTGGATCCACCTTTCTTAATATGATTTTTTTTTTTTTGTAACAAATATTATGATTGTTTTAACGAATCAGCATTTCCTTATAATTTGAGTGAGCAAATTATGCGTGGAATCTTGGTCAAAAACTCACTGAAGATTCCAGAAGTGATTTTTGTTTCGTGATCATATCTACGAGATGTAACTGAACTTAGTCCATATCCTGTTCAAAACTGCGTACCAAACGAGGCCTAATCGCAAGCGCATATAGGCCTTACCTTCCTTTTAATATCCACTGGGATAAGCATACTAAGGTCCATCTCTCACACTCTCCCCTTCTGGGTCATTAGGCCCACTCATTCATTATCCCTAACCAACTTCTGTCCCTTATTTAACGAACTGTCGGTGAATATTACTTTCTTCCAAAATAACTACTGTGGAGTGTCAATATCAATCCTTTCGCGAAATTATTCTAATAGCAATTTTGAGTTTTGATGATCGCTTGGCCGTACAAATGATTAATACCTTATAGACAAGTATAATTAAAACATCGTTCTCAATATAAACTACAGTTAAGTAGAAGCGTACAACAATTTATTTGGTCATTCAATGAAATGGGAAGAAAATTCAGATTTAAGTCTATAAATCTCATTGACACAAAAAAATGATGGTGCTATCCATATACTTATATTTACCTCTCACAAACGTTTCTAATTTCCGACCGTTGAATCGAATGAATTGAAGAAGATCAGTGGAAAAAAAAATTAACAAACTTGTGTAAAAAAAATATTAAAAAAAAATTGTGTGAAAAGCGGTAAAAACCATAAATCTCAATGTGGTTTAGTGGCTAGTTTGAATATGATTTGAAGAATTCCATCCCCCTGGCATAATTATAGGCGGCCCCACTTTGAAATTTGATATCCATAGATGCAGTCCAATGTAAAAAAGTCAGAGTGTGCGCACTATTCTAAATTTATTGTGGCTGAATAGTATTAGTAAATAGATAGAATTAGACATGATACGAAAAAGTTGTGAATGAGTTTAGCATAATCTCATACGACATAAGGACTATTTGATGCAGTCAAATGCTATCGACCCAAATAAGTGGACCTAAACGCATATCTTGGTATTGCAACTAATAGATATATTGTGGCTAAACACATTTCCGATAAACAGATGAGCATGTGGTCCAATATCTTAATGGATCAGGTGGTGAGTTTCTATCAATGCGTCTTGGGTTTAAAACTCCTCCTCCTAATAGTAGTAAACTTTTGTCTAAAAAAAAATGTATTATAAATGGGTGATATATGGCCCAACATGCAAGATTCACAAATTAGTTTAGATTCGTACGTTTGGGCATAATCTCACACCAAATAAAAAGAACGGAATTTGGCTGCTGAAAAATCAGCAGTAGCTCCTGCTGCCCACTATAAAGTTGAAACATGACAACACAAATTGAAACATGACAAGTTGCCAGGACCAGTATTTGATGCAGTCGAATGTTAAACAACACAAATAAGTGTACCTAAATCGCATGTATTTGTAATATGAAATTAAGTTGAGCATAATATCACATGACATAAAATAACGTTATTGAAACACATGAAAACACGACAGGCTGCCACTTACATTATTTTCAAATATTGGATGCAAATGGAATGTAAAACGACAAAACTAAGTGGACCTAAAACACATGGCAATTACCAAGCGATTCAAATAGACAAACCTAATGGATGCATCACTGCCCCATATTGGCGACAAATTTTTAGTTGTGACGGGCACAAAGGTGGTACATCACGTGTTTTTATGTAAGTGGTGAGAAATTTTATTTTTTAAGTTATTAACTTTTTAACACACATATCTCACCATTTATATAGCGACATGCGGTGTACCACCTCGTGTGACGATCACACTAAAAAGTCTCTCCACATTGGCATCAAGTAAAGATTGCAACTTCCAGCACCACAGTTGGGGTTGGGTGGCCAAATGGTGACTGAGACCTCCATACCAACATTATCACCACACTAACACATTTTGGGATGCACATTCACCCACAAATCTTTGTGTCCACCACAATCTAATTTCATCATTACAAAGTTACAAACCCTTTCGGTCGAGGATTATATAAGATTCTTGGATCTAAAGTTAATAGAGATCTGACATATAATCGGTTATATATTCTTTGTTAGGATCTTTCTCGTGTTATATATAAATTAGTGTGTCAAGAACACGGTTCGGTACACCAAGTGTAATAGTACAATTGATGTACTAAACCGTGTTCCCAACACCTTGATGTTAAAGGTAGAACAACTATTTTGTTGTACCAAAATAAGAATCAATTTGATTTGGACATTGTGATTGGTGATGCAGGAAGTTTCTTGGTTCGGCCAACCGCTTTTGATTAGTGATTGGTAATGACAATTAATGTTGAAGATGATGTTTCGCGGTTGAAAATAACCAAACCAATGTTGTTACTTGTGCATTTCAATGGGAAATTGGATGGGTATAGGTGAACCAATTACCTCGACTTTGAGGTTGGTGGGACGATATACGTAGATTGGCAGAAAAATAGGACAGGTAAGTGGACATAGCATGAATAAAAAGTCATTTCTTCTTATCATAATTTAACATAAGAAAATTTCTCATTTTGTAGTTTTACCGAGATATTTGTTTATATGTCTCAGACTGCGATTTCTCAATAATGAGTTAAGCAATGTTTCATTTCTTGTTCCCCCTATCTTCTTATTGTTGAAATCATTGATTTAGGGTGTGTGGAGTCATTTCTTCTTATCATAATTTAACATAAGAAAATTTCTCATTTTGTAGTTTTACCAAGATATTTGTCTAATATGTGTCAAACTTCGATTTCTCGATAATGAGTTAAGCAATGTTTCATTTCTTGTTCCCCCTATCTTCTTATTGTTGAAATCATTGATTTAGGGTGTGCTATCCACACACCCAGCCATCGGATCGAATGAATCGAATAAGATCAAATAATATAAATTGACAAAGAATGTGTGAAAAATGAAAGAGTGTGGATAACGCTTGAGTGGCTTCAAATGTATACTGTTATGTTCATTCAAATATATCAGGACTTCACCAAACGCAATAAATAGAGCTTGACTGGCTGCTTGGACTGGTAAAAGCTCATATTTGTGTGACCAAGTTGGCTTAAAACAGACCCGCCGTGAAATAATTGCCGGCCATACAGGATGGAGCCCCTCCTTCCCAAAAGCACTTATTACAGCACTTCCATCCCCAAAAGCCTCCTTGGATTATAGGCAACTCAATCGCCCCAAGTGAATAGCCTAAGTGCATTTTCATTCCTAAAGTGAATAGCTCAAGTTATTGGGATTAAAATATTATCATTATTTTTTAATAACATAATGAAAGATAATTTTATTTTTAATTTCGAATATGATTTTTAAGCATGATTAGGTATTTATTGAATATTTTTTTTAATTTTTAAAATTTTTCTGTATAAAATTATTAGCAATAATTTAAATTGTGGTTGACATCAACTTTGCGTTATATAGCCTCAGGTCTGGGCCGTGGATTCCTGCCAAATCGGGCTCCCCATTGGAGCCGAGTGGCCTAAGTTTTGTTATGATAACAATTTGGTAAAATTATGATGAGCTTATTTGATTATTAGAATTTTTACTAAAGATTAGTTTTTAAAATATTTTCATCCAAAACGCTTTTAATCATTTTAAAAATACTTTCAAACGGCCCCTATATGTGTTAGGAACATCTATAACAACTTATACTTTGGTTTAAACTATAATCCATACAACATAATATGATTTGATCATGGAATTTTCTAAAAAATTTCAACGCACATCCAGCCGTCAGAAATTTCTAACATCATTACTACCTCTTATATTTCACATCTAATTTCATCTATCAATGTTCACAAGCGTTAATTATACAGTAACAAAATGGCAGAGAAGGAGAATGACCTAATCTCTGAACTTCAGAAGACAAGAAGGCACAAAAGTAAGCAACAGAAGAAGAAAATAGATATTCTGTTTAGTGACTTGTCTGCCTGCATCTCCTGCCTCCTCAGCCTTGGACTACTACTTCCCGTTCGGTGATAAGAATTCGGGTACGCATATACGCTCTCTGAGTTTCCGAACACCCTTGCATAAACCATTTCTCCAAATACCCCAACCGCCGGATGGTGGACACCTGCCATTGCAGTGCCTCCGAGGTCAAGGAGTGAAGAGGAAGGATGTTCTCCAAAACTGCCGTATGATTGAGGGTCATATTGTTGGTTCTGATAAGGGTTACGATATGGAAGTTGCTGGACGGTCTGAGAGGTGCTAGATATGAGAGCTTGCACATCACATGCTGATGGTCTGGGCGGTATTACCATTCCCCTGTAGAGTGTCATCTTTCCTTCATGCTCAGGTTCGGAAGTTGTTTGGCCCCGGCCGTAAAGTGGGACCATGGTGGTGTGCGATATATCAGCTTTGCAAACAGGGCACTGAGGGCACTCATCGGAGGCAAGGGAGGCACTCTGAACGTGAAGCCATTTGTAGATGCAAGGCCAGCAAAATAGATGGCCGCAGAAGGTGACCACTGGCTCGTGCGCAAATTCTAAGCAGATGTTGCAGTCAAACCCACCTTTGGAAGTTTCTGAATCTGTTGTTGCCCCCGATACGGATCTGCATTCGTGTGCAAAGTATTGCTGCAAGGCCATTTTTTCGGTTCTTTTAATTTGTTTTGTTTCTTTCACCAGTACTGCAAAAGATAAGATAAATGAAATCAGTTCTGTACCACGAGTTTTTTGAAGGTCCCTCATCTGATGACCTTGCAAAACAATCAGACTGAAAATTAACAAATGGAAGACAAGACAAATGCTTGCGAGAGAGGAAAAAGTTTAAATAATATAGCAGTGCACGACCACATTGTGAGAGACAAATGAAACCAATTTAGAGACAACGGTAACTCCAAAGAGCACCCACTCATAGCACCTAGGATGTATTTTATACATATAGGTTCATAACATGTATGGCTGCAGATTAAAGGAAACATGGAAAAAAAGTTTCACTTAATAAATCCGAGTGATCCAAAAATCTGCACCGGATCAAGAATGCTACCCGCTTTAGCCACCGGAAACTGTTATACACACACATCTCCCAACCAAGTTCACACTCACCATTCTACCTCACACAGACAGTTATGTTTGAGTTGACATCCAACCAAATTGATTAGCTGCAAGAATTCCTCAGCTTAATGAAGGACATAGAGCAATCTAAATTGCTGTAGAACAACAGTGAAGGAAAAAATGCCTATTGACGAGGAAACTGAACCAATCCCGAACCCTCCATCAAGCACAACACAAAATTAAACAAAAACGTTTTCCGGATTTTCCACCAGTTTTAGATAGAAAATAGGAACATGAAAGAGAAAGTAACATCAACAACCATTTAAGGAGGAAATATTTATTTGTGGTGGTCCGGTGGTGGCAATTTGAAGTAGAGGGATGATTATATTCTGTTAGCTCCATTCCTTGATCAGCATTTGAATAATTTTACACCATTACAGATATATGTATGCTGTTTCTGTCGCAACCATACATACAATCAACCGAAAAACAACTTTGCTCTTATTAACAGAACAGTGAAAGCAATAAGAGAATTTCAATAATTAAAGAACACCAGAGTGAATGCATTTTATCTAGTTTTTTTCTTTCTAAATAACAAGTTAATCAAACCCTACTCACTCGTTCCACACCCTTGTAACAGTGCCGGGGTTATTGATAAACTATGTGCCAAGGTGGTTAAATCAGGATCTATGCAGTTAATCGGGACTTTATAGTTCCCTTCTTTTCTTCCACCAGGCTGGGATACCACAATAATATACAAGAAACAATAAAAGGTACCTTTGCCATTGCAGAGGTTATAACTTCTGGAATGGGCTGAGTGGTGTTACCAGTCCCAAGGCTAATTACTTGTGCATCAGGGTACTTCTGCAAGTGCTCAGCCCTTCTCCTAGCAATCTACATAACAAAACGATATATATAATTGTAGACATCGAAATTTCGGTAAATAAATGTTGACCGATAAATCAAAGTTTCAACGCTCATGTATTACATAAATTTTACACGTAGCGTATGTCTAAACAAAAAATCGAAATAAGTTGGAAAAGTCATCAAACAGGACATATGTCAACACCTGGCAGAAACGACTTATTTTCATCTGGAATATTATATTCAAAATTAGGCCTTGGAAATTTCTATAAATAGAAGGCTAATTCATTCATTTCAAAGAACCAAAATCATTAGGCAAAATTCTTGAAGCTTTGAAGCTCTGAAACTCCTAAGCTCTCAAGCATCCAGGTTCCCGAAGAATCAAGAAAGCGTTCTTCGTTCTTCGTTCATCATTCTTCCAAGATCAAGCCCCGACGGACCTTGGATTAACAACCACCAATTCAAGATCAAGCCCCGATGGCCCTTGA